GGGAGCCAGTAGAATAAAAACTATGATGTGCACAAAGATATGACTTTAAAGGTTAAGTGGGAAATTTAATTAGGTTCTCAGTAGAAACAGAACGACTGGGAGTGTCGTACGAAAATCGAGATCTCGATAACCTAGATTTTCCATCAAGATCTCATCTCGGCCCTGTCTCTAGTTTTCAGTGACATGCAGTCACCGGAAACGCACGAACAAACAACCGAGAAATTAAAAGGACAGAAGAGCCTTAGGGCTTGTCTAGAAATTGACTACCTAGACGAGACTAATAAGTAAATATTTTTTGCTGAAACCTTTAAAAAACAAATAGAACGACAAAAGACTGATCTTGAGTAGACAGATAAGAGATTAGATAGAAAAGAGCAATCAATCTTGTAATATAACCGAGACTCTAATGGGCCTATTTAAACTAGTGGTCATTTCTTGAAGATATGCGAGACTCTAGTGGGCCTATTTATTATTAGTGGTCATTTTTTTATTTTTTTTACTTTTATTTTTTTTCTTTCCGTGAGTCATCCCCTAATTAATTACTTAATTTAATTAAAATTCCAAAACAGTGTTAGTTAAACAATTTAAAAATCAGTTAAAAAGCTCTCTATATTTATTTAATCAATCAATCCGCGTAAACCAATTTATTTACTTGCTTCTTCTTCAACACAACAAATATTAAACTAGTTTTTTCATCGTTTTTCACCTTTCTATTTTTTCTTTAAGCAAAAATCAATTTCTATTTAAAATTGATTTTTAATTAAAAAATTTTTTTCAATTGAAAAAATATTTTTCGTTAATTGGTCATTGTCCGCAAATTTAATCCGCAATTATTTTTTGGTCATTTAAAAAAATATTTTTTTGGACACTAATTTTAATTTTGAACCCTCTTAGAGTCTTTAATTTCCTTTACAATTTATTTCCTCTTTTTCTCCTGTTTCCAATGCTTTTCTTCTTGTAATTTATTTATTTGCGGAATTCTTCTATTATTGTCCGCAAATTTAATCCGCAATTATTTTTTGGTCATTTAAAAAAAATTTTTTGGCCACTAATTTGAATTTGAACCCTTTTTAGACCTATAAAAGATCATTCCCTCTTTCCTCCCGTTTCTCCCGTTTTTCCTGTTTTTCTTCTTGTAATTTATTTATTTGCGGACAATCCGCAAGTTTTATTCGGTAATTAACTAAATTAGCTAATTAAGCTTTTTATGAATAAAAACGGAATAATTCTGATTTAAATAACAAAAATCAGAATTTCTGTTAATATAAAAAATAGTTCAAATTAAATTATTCCCCAAAAAATTTTATTTTAAATATTTGCGGATTAAATTTGCGGACATTGAGCAAATAACGAAAAAAAATTTTTTTAAGAATTTGAATTATTTAAATATTAAAGAATATGTTTATCTATTTATTGTTTGTTTTGTTGATGGAAATTAGTAGAGTGTCAGCTGCGTCAAAATGTGTTTGGGTAGGTCCGAAAATTTCAAAAAAATTTTTTTGCGGACAATCCGCAAATTTATTTTTTTAATTTTTAAGGTTCGCGGAGCTATTTTATGCCATAAAGACCCTTCTAAACAATTTAATGTTGTGAGTGTCATTAAAGAGAATTATTTAAAAAAATTTTTTAATTTTAAAGGAAGTTAGAGTCTATGATAGAGATGGTTTTGGTGTTCTTAAAGTAGTTGATCCCGATGATCTTATGGGGTAAAAAATATAATCTAACCTCGCTATAGGCTAGCTTGAAAGGGTTAAAAATTATCGGAGCTTATAATGAGGGTATACTAAATGGAGGTACCCCTCTTTATAATGGACGATATTTTAGTGTAATAATTAGGTGTACTTAAAATAGAGGGTATCGCTTAAATAGAAGTGTAGCTTAAATAGAGGTACCCCTCAATATAAGGCACTCTCATTATAAGACAATTTTATTGGACCTTATAATGAAGTATGGATTATAGGGTATCTAATCCACACGTACAGGCAGCTCCCCCCCAAGTGACCAACTAAATCTAAATAGCGTCTCTTAAATAGAGGGTGTATCTAATTCTGAGAATATCTTATAGTGAGGTTGACTATAATTTAAAGAAAAAATTTTAAAAAATTTTTTCCCAAAGAATTACTTTCACTGAACCAGACGGCACTTTTCAATTGGATGGGTGTGGGAAGGACTTTGATTGGATTCCTGGAGTGGTGGTAAATTTTTAAATATTTTAGAAAAATAAAAGGAGGAGGTTAGAGGCTATAAAAACAAATTTAAATAATTCTAAAAAATTGTGGGAGGCAAAGGGGTTCGAACCCACGACCCCCTTGGTTCCACAGGCAAGCACATTACGGCCCTATCCTAAAAAGAGGGCGCCTTGATTTTTTTTCCATCATTTTTTTCCAACCTTAATATATAAAAATGGTCAGTCTTTTCTTCCTCGTTCAATTCCACTCTTTTTACCTTTGGCATATTCAATTGAACAGAAAAGCACATACACTACAGACAAAACACGGACGGACAAACACAACCTTGTTTCGTCTGTCCGTGCTCGTCCGTGTTTGTCCGTGTTCGTCCGCGTTCGTCCGTGTTTTGTCTGTCCGTGCTCGTCCGTGTTATGTCTGTCTGTACTCGTCCGTGTTTTGTCTGTCCGTGTTTTGTCTGCGTGTTCGTCCGTGCTTTGTCTGTCCGTATTCATCCGTGCTCGTCCGTGTTTTGTCTGTCTGTATTCGTCCGTGTTTTGTATTCGTCCGTGTTTTGTCCACATTACCACTTAACCACAAGGGGATTTTTTCTCTGATTAAAGGATTTTAATTATTTTTTTATTTCCTTAGCCAAACAACCCTGATCCATACATTCAAATTCTTCATTATTGCAACACTCCAAAAGGCGAGACTTTGGAGCTACCTGAATTTGACACATTTGTTGTGAGTTAAAAAAAATTTTTTGAAAATTAAAAAATTTTTTTTCAGCCAAGAACCCACGATGTTGGTATAGTTATTTTGGATTCAAAGAAAACAACAAATGCCCCAGTTACTTTTCCGACTATAAACAAACCTAGACATAAATTGGCTGAATCGGAAGAGAAAGAAGGTGGACAGCTGGTAATAAATTTTAAAAATTTTTTCAGACTCTAATGTCCAATTTTAATTTTTAATTCAGTCTCTTCACCATTTGCTTACCAAAGAAGTCATTCCTCCCAAGGACTATAAAAATAGTTCTTCCGTTTTGTGGGACTCTTCAAGTATTGAATTGGACGATTCTGACTCTAAAGGTGCTTACTTTCTTTTATTTTTAAAATTAAAAATTCAGAAAACAAAACCTCAATTTTTGAGGAGCGACGCCCTAATTTGACAAAAACAAAATTTTATAATAACAACGTAACCGAGGAAATTTCTACGGAACTTAAACGTGACTGAAATTATTTTTAAATTTTGTTGTTTTTTGTGACAATGGCTAGGTCGTTGTAAATTTATGGGATTTTTGAAATGGTTAGATTTAAAAAAGGACAATTTACAGCAACGACCTAGTAATTACTAGAGGTCGGCACGGGACAGGACCCCGAACGGGATTTTACGGGATCTTTTCCCGAAATCCCGCGGGATCCCGGTAAATTTTTGAACGGGGTTATCGGGATTACTGTCCCGCAAAAATTTTTGAAAAAAATCCCGTTACGGTATCCCGTGAATGCGATTTTACCGACCTCTACTAATTACTGGAGCTGTCCGTGACTCTTGGTTTGAGTTTTGACTCACATCAGCCGTCTTGGAAAATTTCCGTCTTGGAAAATTTTCGGTCTCGGACAGCTCTAGTAATTACCTATTATTTTTCTCTGGGCATTCTATTTAAAAAACCTTTTTTCTTTGCATTTTACTTTAAAGAAAATTATTTTTCAATACAAAAATCTATACCATAACATTTACTTAAATTTTAAGTATTTATTCATGTAAAAAAGAATTTTTTTTTTGAAAAGAGAATAAAAAAATTTTAAATATTTATGCATTTAATTATCCACAAAATTATTTGGAAGGATAATTTACACAAATCCTAACAAGGTTGCTCATTAATAGGACACTTTTATTACAATAAAAAATATGTGATAGAAGGATGAGTTGAGGGAATATTTACGAGGGAATCAAGACTAGGAGAGACTTGTCGAAAATTGGTGTTTTTCCCAAAAAATTGATTTTTCCAATTAATAAACGAACGCCAAAAATAGTTACCATTGAATTTTCAAAGAAATTTCTCTCAAAAAATTTTCCTCAAAAAAACACCAATTTAGAGACCACTATTTAGCCTGAGCCTATACAGAATATTTTTATATTTTATTATTATTATTCTCATCAATTTACATCAATTCTTATTGTCATCTCTCCCCTCAATCATCAGCTTTTTTGGGCTGTTTCGTCAGTCCTTCCCTAATATTATCACATTGCTCTTCCAACATTTTATGTCGCACCAACATTTTGTAGTCGGAGAAGAAGTTGTCGAGCAAATCGTCTGGACTGGAAAATGAAAGAAAAATTTGGGGAAAATCAGAAAATTTAGTGTTTACATCAATTCGAAGAAGTCATCCACATTGTTGGCTTGCATTGCCAACTTCCTCACTTCTTCTCGCGCTTCAAGTGGACTAAGCAAACTGACAGAAGACTGAATAGAAGAGACGGTAGTGTATGCTGATCCTGTGGAGAAGTCGTCTAACAAGGCAAAGGGCCTAGCAGAGTATTCCAACAATTGCCCTGAAAAATTTTGAAGGTGTCTAGAGGAGCTTTTGTTTAGTTTTTACATTCTTCCGGATCAAGCTCTTCCATTGTATTCAGGCTTACACATGACGAACCGACAGAGACAAAGTCCAAACCCCACTCCTCGTCCAAGAAGTAATTTCTCTGATGGGTAGCTTGAAGGCAAGTCTTTGTAGAATTGATATCTGAATGGGAGGGGTATTAGAGGGAGAAAGACTCGGAAGAAATTACCCTCAAGTGAACCTAGAAGAAGCTCAAGACTGAAGTTTTCAGAAGACTGGCCAAAGTAGTCATCAGGAGAGAATACCAATTTGCTGGCTGTCTTGGCGCTTCTATCATCTGCGGTTAAAGCATCACGTGAAGGAGTATCAAGTGGAAAGAGGTAGTCGTAGTGCCTGGCAAGTTGTAGGCTACAGCAGCAGTAAGGTCGATTACAATCACCAACAGAGTTCATTGACGCTTAAAAATGTAAAGGATCATTTTGAGTGTAGAACTCGAAATTTTGCAGCTTACATTGTTCCTCAACATCGCACTCCTCCGCGATTTCCATGGCCCTTTTTGTGGAGAAAGTAGGATGTCTTTGGCCAGTTATATCCTCGCAGTCGACAAGAAACTTCATCATCTCGGGCGGATACTCGAGGAGACCTGGGCAGGATTTGGTATGACGACATCCAAAAAAGATGTCATATTGCGGCCCTGCACGACGACAGGATTTACAAACTTTCTCTCGCGCTTGTAGTCGAGTAAGCAAACAGGCAGAAGACAGGATAGAAGAAGGAACAGACTCCACTTCAGAATGAGGAATTTCGAGGGGTGCGCTAGTAGAAGAGAACATAGGCTGTTGTCGAGCGGTGGAAGAACTGAAGAAGGAATCTGAAAAGCAAATTTAAAAGATTTTTGAAGTCTAAAATCCTTCAAAAATCCACACCTTCAAATGTCCTTGCTCCCAAATTGCCAGCAGACGCCGATCTTGTTATTGTTGGAACTGATACTGGAGTGCTCGGGGAGTTGACATTTCCGGTAGACGCCGATCTAGTTATTGCCTTATTGCAGTACACAGACACTGAAAAATATATTAGGGGTAATTTTAAGTGAAAGTCGTGTAATTTGCTTACATTTCTCCTCAGCATCAAGCTCCGCAATGGTTTCCCGTTTGGACTTTTCTGACAAAAAGTCTGGAGCGGAATTGGTATCCTGACAGCCATATTGCGAGCTTGGACGATCACACCACTTCACCGGAATTTTCTTCCTGTCGTTGAGAAGTTGAGGCGCGCTCCATTGCTGCATCCGCACGAGAATTTTCTCTAAAAATAATAAGGGATTTAGAGAGAACGGTTAGTAAATGTATCTTACTTCCTAAACGCTTCGAACACTCCCTGAAAAAAAGCAGTTCTTTCTGCTTCTTCTTCAGCACAGGCTGAACCGGCACATCGTTCTGGTTCGTCGGTTTGTCGAATCGTTGACGCAATTCGTGTATGACGCTCGCCACAAACCTTATTGCCGTTTGTGTTTGTTCGTATGTTGGAGACGACATTGTAGTTTAGTCCTGTTGATGAGTGGCGTGGTTAGAGGCAAATGAAGCTATTGACATTAGATTTAAACTGCTTTTATACCCCCTACTTTTCTTAGCTAGCTGGGGAGCCAAGCTGATTTCTGAGGTATAAATATGCAAATGATGGTTCATTCGAAAGAGCTCGTCGAGTTAAGTTCCCTAAGTAAATGTCTGTGTAGTTTGTAGATGGTTTAGCAATAACGAATTTTCCTAGTCAAATAGAAGGTCATATATATTTTGGCGTGGCGCGACACATCAAAGGTCGCGTCTTCAAAAGTCATCCTCAAGTTTCGGATCCTCAGAAGTCATATCCTCAAGTGTCGGGTAGCCATATTTTGGATAGATTTGAAGGGATATCATGTGACTTGTGAGAGGTGAGAGGGGTTTGAAAATATCCTCAAGATGATCTACCCTCAAGAAGCTCTCAGCATCATCCATTCAGTCACTCTTCCTTCAACGTTTCATTTGTTGCCGTCTTTAAATACATATAAAAAATACACTTCGATTTATTCAGTCATTTACTAACTTCCAGAAACTGATTGTGAGATGTGGGTAACACAACAAGAAACGTGTTTTCCTTATGTAAAAATACTCCGAGTCAAATATCACAATAGCATTAATTAATGGTCATAAACTATGCTTAGTTCACTTCTGCCGAAATCACCAGACACGGTTTCCATCGGACCTGAGTCTTTTCGGGATAAATATGTATGTATTCTATGCTGGACTCGACCTTTGGGACCCGGTCGATTTATTGTAACCCTAAACTAATTAAATAGGACAAACAACAAAAAATAGAGAAAAAAATACCTAATAAAGGAAACATTTTTTATTCTTTTACTAAACAGAAAAAATAATTGGGGATGATTTATAGTCGCCTTTAATGGCATACATATATTTACATAATTAAAGGATATATTATAGCGATGGCCTATAGAATATTTTTATATTTTATTATTCTCATCAATCCACATCCATTCTTCTTGTCTCTCCCTTCAATCATCAGCTCTTTTGGACTGTTTCATCAGTTCTTCCCTAATATTATCACATTGCTCTTCCAACATTTTATGTCGCACCAACATTTTGTAGTCGGAGAAGAAGTTGTCGAGCAAATCGTCTGGACTGGAAAAAAGAGAAAGAAAATTTGGGGTAAAATCAGAAAATTTAGTGTTTACATCAATTCGAAGAAGTCATCCACATTGTTGGCTTGCAATGCCAACTTCCTCACTTCTTCTCGCGCTTCAAGTGGACTAAGCAACAAACTGACAGAAGACTGAATAGAAGAGGGAACAGACTCCATATCCGAATCAGAACTTTGGAGAAGGGCTTTGAACACGCTTGGAGAAGCGGGTTTACGTAGCTGTATACGTTTAGAAGGGAGGCAGTAGATGGACTCTGAAAATTAAAAAAAATTTGAAGAGTTTAATATCTTCTGAGAATCACACCTTGAGATGTGCTTGTCCCCAAATCGCCAGTAGACGCCGATCTAATTAGTGCCCGATCGCAGTACACAGACACTTAAAAATACATTAGAGGATAATTTTAAGTGGCGTAATTTCCTTACACTTATCCACATCAAAATACGCCACAGACGCCGATCCAATGAAAAAGTCGTCGAATGAGGGAGAGGGCAAAGGCGAGTAGTCATAGAATTGCCCTTAAATTTTTAAGGGAGTTGAGTTTGAATTAAAAAAGACTTTTTTACCCTCTACCGGATCAAGCTCCTCTTTCATGGTGTGTATACTTTCCCACGAAATATATACACTTTCCGACGATACATTTTTCCAATACCAATCAATTTTCTCATTGGTAGTTTGAGAGCAAGTTTCTGTAGAATTGATATCTGAATTGGAGGGAAATTAGAGGAAGAAAAAATCTCGGAAGCAATTACCCTCAAGTGAACCCAGAAGAGGCTCAAGACCGAAGTTTTCAGATGACTGCCCAAAGTAGTCATCAGAAGATGTCAAATTGCTGGCTGCTGCCTTATCGCTTCGACCATTTGCGGTTACGGCATCAAGTGAAGGAGTGTCTAGTGGAGTGAGGTAGTCATTGGACCTGGCAGTAAGTCGGCGGCTAGAGAACGCAGGATGATTAATGTAGTAAGTACATTGATCAATATGTTGATCAATATCAATGTACTCGGAGTACACAGACACTTAAAAACATGTTTATAGGGTTAGTAAAAGTCGAAACTTTCTTACATCTATCCTCATCATCAAGCTTCTCCATGGTTTCCCTTTCGGACTTTTTCTTCAAAAAATCTGGAACAGAATCAAATTCAGCAGCAAACTTCACCCGCTCAGGAGAATACACGAATAAAGATGGGCAGGACTGGGTATGCTGACAACAACCACCATTAGCGCACTCATATTGCGAGCTTGGACGATCACCTACTGGAAATTTCTCCCTGTCGTTGAAAAGTTCAAGCGCGCTCCTGGTCCAAAAATAGTAGCCATCTAAAAGAATTTTAAACAAAACGGCTAAATTCGTTTAGTTTAACCCTTACATTTCTTTACGGAAGCATCCTTCCTCTGACGATAGTTGAGCTGTTCTTCCTGCTCCTCCTTCTGTACAGGTTGAACCGGCACATCATTCGCGGTCGTCCGATTGTCGAATCGTTGACGCAATTCCTGGATGACACTCGTCAGATCTTCTGTTGTCGTCTGCAGTTGTTGCTTTGGGTCGAGCTCGGCAAGATGTTTGTCAGAGCAGACACGTTGATCATTGGCCTCAGCACAGTACTTAGGCGCTTAAAAATATATCATAAGATTATTTTGAATGTGTCAGAATTTGCTTACATTTCTCCTCATCATCAGGTTTCTCCAAGGTTTCCAGCTTGGACTTTTTTGTCAAGAAATCCGGAGTTTCGGGAGCAAATCTGGCAGCAAGCTCCATCTGCTCAGGAGTATACGCGAATAGAGCTTCGCAGGATTTGGTATGCTGACAGCCATAATCGCAATTGTATTGCGAACTTGGACGATCACAATACTCCTCCACCGGAAACAGTTTCCTGTCGTTGAGAAGTTCGGCTGCACTCCGGACCACGATCGGAACGAAAATACGCCCTAAAAATAATAGAGATTTAAACAGAATGGCCAATTAATGTATCCTACTTGCGAAACGCTTTTGACACTCCTTCATGAAGGCATCCTTCCTCTGGAAAAAGCTAAGCCGTTCTTTCTGCTTCTCCTTCTGCACAGGCTGAACTGGCACATCGTTCGGGTGCGACGGTTTGTTGAATCGTTGACGCAATTCCTGCATGACGCTTGCCAGTTCCCCTGCTGTTGTTTGCGGTTGTTGTTGCTTCGGAAGGCAGCAGTTGTGTGTTGGAGACGACATTGTAGTTTAGTCCTGTCGATGACTGGCGTGGTTAGAGGCGGATGATATTGAACATTTCATTAAAACTGCTTTTATAACCTTCTCGTCTCTTAGTTGGCAATCTCGGTCTTCCTTCGCGAGAATATACTATAAAAGCCCCCGCATTTCATTCATTTGCCACCAGCTCTACAAAACATTCATCGCAACTCATTGAACGTCTACATCGTCTACTGCATCTCTACATACTCATTCGCTGCCTTCTTCCAATGGACCTCGACACCGGACCTTTGGCCAGAAAGTCGTCAACGCTGTGCTCTCTGCTGCTGCTGCTCACCATCGCCGCACTTGCAGTTCCCGGACAGGTCAACAGCGAAGAAGTCGGATTCGGCAAGCACACAAAGAAAAACGACACAGTGACGCTCACCGACAGAACCATAATTGCCACCAAGACGAACTTCGACCTTGCTGATTGTAACTTCAAGAAGCGGTATCCGGACGCCTGCGATGTTACAATCGAGGACGACTACATGTGAGGACTTTTTTTATTCTTTTTTAAGACTAACCGTAACTAACATTTTCTTTTGTTTCAGCGAGCTTCGGTACAACAACGGCAGCAAAGGATGCACTGTGGATCTTCTTAGCAAAGACGCGTCGAACAACAGCACGATCAAGTTCGCGACCGGAGTGCGAAACATAAAAGGAGGACTCCACAAATGCCTTGACGATGGTCATAACCTCGACGGAAGCTATAACAACACGTGAGTTTTTACTGTCTAATTCTACTATTTGGCAGTTAATTTATCCTAATCTTTATAGCCTGCCTTTCGTCTACAGCGTCAACAACACGGTCATTGAAGAGCTCAACAACCGGCGGTTCAAAGATGAGGTTGAAGGGTGTGACAAAGGTGTTTGCGAAGGCATTCGTGGAAACTGCATGCCGAATACATCACTTCAAGTCTCATGGAGCAGATCGCGTGGAAAGGTCTATGCTCACACATATCTAAGTAAGAGGCCTGTTTGTGTTTTTATTTTTTCTTAAATAATTTTAGTTGGTGACGATAAGGGACAAGCCAGGAGTCGGTCCAAGGCGCCTGTGAGTGAGAATATGACCCTTGACTTGATGATAAATACTGCGAGCGGATTCACAGTTGAGTATGCGGTGGCGGAGCCATTCTTCAATGCCTCGGGTGGAGCTGTTTGCGTTCCAGAGTCAAATCCTCTCTTTGAACCCAAAGCATGGACCATCACGAATGAGGATTACAAGGACAAACAACTGCTCGTCTTCAGCCTGCTTCGACAAACTGCCGCTTATACGTACAATGGTGACAACTTGTCAAAGCCTCCAAACGGACCGCATTGTGAGCTCTTCGTCCGCTTTGTGAGTTTTAATTTTTGTATAACCTTCATAATATATTTTTTGTAACCTTTTCCAGAGTACATCCGACTACAGCCTTCTCTTTGTCGACAACTCTCCGACAACGACGCAGCCGACTACGACTACTGTAACGACTACAGCAGCGATAACATCAGAGACGTCTGGAACGACAACATCTTCAGCGACAACTCCGCATACCACCGCCAGCAACTTCACTTCCATCAGAACGACATCTCAAGCAGCGACAAAGTGCCCGGAACAGCGGGAGGAGGGTGGCGGAGCTCCCTACCTTGCGATTGGCATTGCTGTTGGCCTCATTGTCGGGATCGTCATTGCAGTTTTGGTCTGGCTCTGGATGAAGAACAAGGCAGGAAAGGATACGAAAAAGGGAGGGAAGCAGGACGCCGAGCGTGCAGAAGAAGATCGTCTGCTTGCGCTGTACAAGGCTGAGGAGAAGACCAAAGGCGAAAAGGCTGTCGGGACATTTTCTGCATGGAAAAAGAATGTGAGTTTAAAAATCTGAGAAAATATGTACATTTAATCAACCTCTTTTCCCACTTTTCAGAGAAAGGAGAGCGAAACGAAAACTGCGGTGGAGCTGTCTTCAGTCGACGACCTGATCGCTGCAATCTGGAAGAGAGTGGAGAAGAAAAAGGCCATGGACAAGCTGCAGTACCTTGTGGATCAGTTCGAGAAGCAGAAGGACAACGAACTCTTCGAGCGGGAATACACGCCGGAACTGAAAAAGAAGGGACTTGCAGCTGTTGGGTCTTTCGAGGAGTGGAAAAAGGTGAAATTTTAAACATTTTTTTCTCTCTGATTCTCAGTTAATCCTTCCAATTTTTATTTTTCAGAACAAGAACATTGCGGCGACGTTCACCTTGAACGACGGGACAAGGACGGCGATTGAAACCGAGCAGCCAAAGGTCATCGAGAAGATCGTCGAGAAGGCTGAGAAGTGGACAATCGAGGAGGGGCCGACAATTGAGGAGAAGGAGATAAAGGAGGCGAATAGAGGCGCTGTGGACGGTGTTGATGTTCCAAAGACTGAGGAGGAGGAGGAGGTTGATGATGGGTGGATTCCGCCGTCGGAACCGAATAATAACCCGAGAGAAGAGATATAGTTGTGATAAATTTGTGTCACCATATATTGCTCTCATTGTATGTATTGTATATTTCTTGTTGTTTGTATTGTATTTGAATTGTTGTATTCAATTGTATTTTTGTGTGTAAATAAATTGTTGTATTTGTATTCTTTATTCGATTCGATAAATTAAGGAAAAGATTTGATCCAGGAAAGATAACCTCTAAGAAAAATAACCAAAATTTCAGCCTTTTTTGTAATAATTAAACCTTTTCGCAGAAAATTCTCTCGATGCCTTCTCTTGCTCCTTTACAAATCCTTACATCCTCTTTTACACCCGCCCCATATTCATACAAATATGAATTCTGTAGAGGAACACTTTAAAAATTTTGCAAGACGTGCCCAATTTATTTTCCATGTTCTGAAGCCACAGTCAGGCTTTAAGGCACTTCATGATTGAGTCTGCACGACTTCCCCTTGAACTCCTGACACGATGAAATCATTCGGGAATGGGGAATTACTCGAGGGTGGGGAATTAATCGAAAAAATTTTAAAGCTCTTAATCCTCTATATCCCCTTAATCCGCTGATATAACTATTAATCCCTCAATCCTACCAAATCATCCGATAGATCCTAAGTCCCTAGATCACACATTGATATGAGGTAAAACGCCCCTCGAGACCAAGTGTGTATTCGAGTTATCGAGGCGTAATCGTGACGTAATATCGAGTTTCGACTGTATCGATTTCTCTCTAACTAACACTATTTCTCTTTCTCAATTAAAATCAACCTAAAAATTTTCTCTGGGCTTTTTATTCAAAATTTTTTAAACTGCCAAATGAGTACATATACAAAAGAGTAATTATAAGAAATGTAAGCTTAAATTATGAGGAGAAGAAAAAAATTTCTAAAAAAGGATGTATTTTTAAAAAAAAAGTAGAGTTGAATTTACAAAAAAAACAATATTTAGCTCTTAAATATTAAAAAAATTTTAAAAAGGCACAACAATATATATGGGTGGAAATAGGTCGTACATATTAAATTAAAAATTAATATATTTTGCATTATTCTAAAAGAGCTGTAGGCAGAATTAGGGTTGGGAGCCCCAGTCCGGTCCGAAAGATCAAGTCAGGCATAGAATTCTTGCCCGAAAAGGACTCGGCCGGGCCGGTCAAATAAAAATGAAGCCAGAAAAATGACTCGAACGTCAGCCCGACTTGAAACCCCCACATCCTAGTTAAAATACTTTTGCAGCTACTTATTTGGTTTTTTGGTTGTCTAGTTTTTGTGTAAGTGAAATTTTTTAAAAATTGAACTTGTGTGAGTATTATAACTGGCAGGCCCGTAGCCAGGATTTTTTTTCGGGGGGGGGGGGGGGGGCCAAGGGGGGAAAATTTTTTCTGCGCCAAATTTTTGGCGCCGAAGGCGCCAAAAATTTTTACTTTCAGCGCCGCAGGCGAAAATTTTGAGAATTTTAGAGGCCGTAGGCCGAAAAAATTCACTTTTTTTTGCCCCAGCCCTTCCCCAAATTTTTTCCTTTTTCCCATTTCGGGGGGGGGGGGGGGGAATTCCCCCCCTCACCCCCCCCCGGCTACGGGCCTGATAACTGGAGTCGGGAACCAGAAAAGAAAATAAAAAAAAATTATTGTGCACACCCAGCAACTCTTAAAAAGTTGTTCTCTGAAACAATCTTCTTAAACACACAAGTCCAATTTCTAAAAAAATAAAGAAAAGTGAATATCTTTTAAAAAAAGGAAAGAAATTAAATTTCTGGAATAATTAAATGTATATATAAATATTAAAAAAATTTATTTTTGTCAATTCGAAGAATTAATTGTTTCCAATTTTTGTTGTTGCTGTTGTTGAATTAATTGTGCTTCTGTACAAAATATTTGTTGTTGTTGTTGGGGAATCATTGAAGGTGGTAAACGATTATTAATAAATTGTTGTTGTTGTTGAATGTTATTATTTATTGTTGACATTGGAGGCATTAACATTGGATTAAAATGTTGAGGAGGGCTGTAGAAAGGAAAAAAATGTTTTTAAAAAATTTTTAAAGAAAAATAAAAAAATTATTTTGGAATTAATTGGAGGTTTTTTAAATTTAATGTTAAAATGGGACACATGAGATAATGTCAGAAATATTCCCTTAATAGTTGATAAGCCAAAACAAAATCAAAAAGAAATAATATGTGGTAATTCATAGCCTGGTTCCCCCCTTCTCCTTCTTAAGATTAAGGTGCTTCACAAATTGATATTCTTTAAAAAATAGAATACTCCTTGAATTAAAGCCTTCCCCTTATGAATTGAAACCTCACCCTTTAGTAGCCCCTTTTGATGGGTTAAAAAATTAAAAAAAATATAGATGAAAAATAAAGTCTCCCATAGGGCTCTATCACAGATAATGCGATAATTAAAATTATAAAAAAATATTTAAAAAAAAACAAACATCATATTAGGAAAGAAAGGAGGTCTATTATTAAATTGTTGTTGTTGTTGTCCACCTCCCCCACCCATTTCTATATTATCCATCGGAGGAAATTGTTGTTGTTGTGGAGGATGAGGGAAATTATTATTTAAAAGTCCATTTTGTTGTTGAGAAATAAAATTTTGTTGTTGTTGCATTTGAATAAGTTGTTGTTGTTGAATTAAAGAATTTGGTGGTGGTGGTTGGGGTAACATATTGTTGTTGTTATTATTTTCAGAAGATGAAAATTGACACAAAACACTTTCCATTTCAATCAATTTACGAAGTTTTTCTTGCCTTTTAAAAGGAAAAAAAATTTTAAGCCAAAAAAATTTTTTAGAAAAGCTAGAAAAATTTTTTTGAAGAAAAAGGGCCAGAAATAAAATCCTTACACCCACCGGGCTTCGAACCCACAACCTAATGGTGAAAGACTAGGATGTTACCCACTGCTCCACGTATGTCTATATTTAGGATTATTAATTTTTTAGTTAAACACAATGGAAATAAAGACATTCTTTTTAATTAAACCACAAAAATTTAAAAAAAAAATAAAAAATTTTCAAAAAAATTTTCAAAAAAAATTTTAAAGAAAACATACTTTGCAGCATCTCCACAATTTTGTTGATGTTGTTGTAAATTATTATTTAATTTATTAAAATTATTAGCATTTCCATCTTCTTCCTCTCCTCCTCCCAATTTAATCATTTTATTTACTGGTTGTTCATTTAATGTTTTACTTGCCATTATTTCCATTTTTCTTTAAAAGAAAAAAAATTTTTTTTTCAATTTTTAAAAAATTAAAAACTTTAAAGGATTTTCATCATCTAAACGTCCAACATTTCCATTAATATTTCCAGAATTTATACAAAAATAATTTTGTTGTTGTTGTTGAATTGTTGGTGTATTATTAGAATTGTCACCAGAAATAGCATCAGGACGTTTAAACATATTGTTAATATCAGCACTTTAAAAAAATTTTACTTAATAAAATTAAAAAGTTTTAATGAAGAAGTGGATCCAATATTTAAAAAGATGACATCTTGTCCAAGAAATTATTTTTTTCAAAGCTACCCATAATCCCAGACCAAAAATTAACTGGTTCCCTCTCCCAGTTAAATATTTAAAAAAAAGTCTCTTATAAATTGGAGGATTTAGCGTCCACAGTTGGGGCCAAACCCAACATGAAGCGACTTAATGGAAATTCCTCAAACCTCGAGGAAGAACAAAAAAAATTTTCGACCGAATCCTACGACATTTATCCTTCTTAATAAAAAATAAAAAAATAAGAAACTAACCCATTACTAGAAGAATCACAAACATCTTTATTATTAGAACCAAAACGTTGTTGTTGTTGTAAAACCATGTTATTATGAATATTTGGATTGTTGTTAATTATAGAACCTTGTGGAAGTACAAAATTATTGTTATTGGGAATTTGTAAAGGACTACACAAAGAATTTTGTTGTTCTTGTACCTTTTAAAAATAAACAAATTTTAATTTAAAAAATTTTTCAAAAAAAACCGTTGATTGCGAAGCTTTTCGTTTATTAGAACGTGATGTTGATGGAGTTGATGACGGATGTGGAGATTTACCATTCATTCGCATTGGTAAATTTATTGGATTCATAGATTGTTGAGGACCATAAAATGCTTAAATTTGGAGAGAAATTTTAGAAAATTTTTTTTTTTTAATTTTCAGATTTTGCGGACGTCCGCAAATTTAATCACAAACTCCCAAAAAAATAATCTCCCATTTATTAAAGACAAGAATTTTGTTAAATATATGGTTTCTATACCAAAATGCTTAAATTTGGAAAGAAATTTTAGAAAAATTTTAAAAAATTTTGGAAAATTAAACAAGAAACTCCCAAAAACAATCTCCCATCTATTAAAGACAAGAATTCTGTTAAGTATTTGGTTTCTATAACTTCCAGATTTAAGAGGAAGAGGCTAAGGCTAGGCAGGCTTTCATCGGATAAGTTAATCAAGGACTCAATTTATTCCTCCGTTTTATCCATAAATTCTATTTAAAATAAAATAGTAAAAAAAACCTTTGGAAGTTGAAGGATTAGAAAGATGCCAATCAACAAAAGTATGAGCATGCCAAATAGCAAGATCAGGGACTTGACGCTGTTTAACACACAGAGCTGCTTTGTTTGCCAAATCAGATGTAAAAAGAAACGAGAAACGGCCAAATGGATTGTTTAGTCCTCCATTGTTTGGTATCATTTGAAAGGGCGGAACCTGAAAATTAAAAAGTTATTGGCCCCAAATTGAAAAAAAACTCAGTTTGGGGAGACAAAAAAATGATAAAGGCAAATAATGAAAGGTGACAGTTGATCCCAAATCCAATTAAAAAAATTTTTTTTTTAATTTCCTCGCACAATTCAGACCACCGAAAAATTAAAGAAAAAACCTCAAATTCACTTCCATTATTTAAAACAATTTGTTGCTGGCCATTAGGTGGTAATGTCATTCTCATATTTGGAGGCATACCTTGCCAGAGTAAAGGATTTTGTTGTTGTTGTTGTTGTTGAGGTATAATCATTTGTTGGTGTTGTTGTTGGCCAATTAGAGGTGAAGAAATTGATTGTTGACCTTAAAAATTTAAAATTAGAGGGCAGAGCAAGGGGAATTTTTGAAGGGATTCTTCAGATTTCCTGACAAAATGAAAATGAAATTTAATATTTTAGAACTTAAGATAATCATTAGATGGGTAATAAGGTGTCGTTTTCGGTTTGGGTTGACTTTCGAATGAACAGAGCGCCTTACAAGGACGTAGCCAGGGGGCTGAGCGGAGCACACAACCAAAATTAGCCCACTGAAATCCGACCCAGGCTACGCCCTTGCTGCTTTATACATTTATGATTTAAATAAATTTCTCGAGTCACGGTCAAACCGGCAACTCTATTGTATGATAAACCATAATTGAGAAATGTCTTTCTAGACCGAAACAAATTTCTGATACATTCCCAAAAATTTTTAGAAAAAGTTAAAAAAATAAAACCGTTATTATTCATTTGCATAGACTGTCTAAACATTGGAGAATTACAGTTTCCATTCATATTAAAATTTGCTGGGTTGTTAACATCCAATATTCCTCCATTATTATTGTTGTTAGGATCAAACATTCCATTTTGAGGCAATTGAAAATGAGGTGGAAAGCCTTGCTGAATTTTTATAAAAATTTAGAAAAAAATTTTTAGAGGTTTATAAAAGCAAAGAAATTTTTGAGAAAGACAGCGAATCATTTCGATGAGCATTTTATAAAAAGAAATCCTCAATGGGTATCGAACCCCAGTGCTTTCCTCTAGTAAACATCTCTCAACACACCACTTTCCCACTACACCAAAATAACAACTTATAGTCTGATCAGAATTTAAGACTATTACCCCACCATAAATTACTTAAAATGCTTTAAAAAATATCCACGTGAAGAAATCCTCATATTTTAATAAAAATAGAAACCTGAATATTTCCTTGTTGTCCCCCATTTCCTCCAACTCCATTTGGCACTAATAAATCAGCAGTGGAAGTAACTGAAGGAGAGCTTATTTGTTGCTGAATTTTTTGTTGATCAACAAACTGTGGTTGTCCAGAAGAGGAAAAATTGCTTGTTGGACGTTGAAATTCTTGCTGTTGTTGCTGGTATATATTAGTCCCCCCTCCCACACTTTTTCTTTGCGAATCTTGAAATTGTTTTAATTGTTGCTGTGAAATATTATTGAAGTAAGGAGATGAAATATTTGGGGAAGGTCCTTCTGGGGTGAATTGAGGAAGTTGTTGTTGAATAATATCTATATAAGGTTGAGAAATGTTTAGAAAAAATGTTAGAAAAAAATTTTTGCCAAAAAAATGGATCCTAAAACCCTTAAAAAATATGAACGATCAAATGCCAATTTTATTCCTTATGGACATTTTGTCACAAAACCCTCGATGTTGATCATATGAAGAAAATAAAAACTTTTTATCGACAGGGAAATTAAGTAGAGACCGCAATTCTGAAAAAAAACCGAGAACGGGAAAGTGTAGCAGAGAAACCCGGTCGGGACCCAGAACCGGGATTTCCCGATCCCGGTTTCATCTCGGCATCATCAAAAAAGCCGGGGGAAAGGGCCGGTACGCGATTCCATTCCGGTCTCTAAAATTAAGTCGAGCCATCTTATATGAATTCTAACACTTAATTAGACATTTCCCGTCATTTCCAAAATTTGTCCATTTTACAATTTGAACATTTTAAATAAAATTACCAAAATTTCCATTTTGCGAAGTTGTAGGAGTATCAAAAAGTAAACTATTTCTTTGAATATTAGCACCATTATTGTTGTTAAATGCAATTTGTTGTTGTTGTTGAGGATTCCAAAATGCCGGATTTGTTGCCATTTGTTGTCTATCATATGAAGGAGGTAAAGAAATGCAGTCACCATTGGTTAGCGATGCTTGTAGACCAGCACAATCATTCATTTGGTATTTTTTTGGAGTTTTTTGGTAGAAAAAAAAATTAAATTGTTTTTAAATAAACATACAAAAATAGTCAATAAGACAGCAAAATAACTGAAAAAAAAATAAAAAAGTTGCAATCACACCTACCCAAAAGATCGAAAATTTAAAAAAGATCAACTCACACTCGCTAGCTTCTATTTTTATAACGGCGGGGAAATTTGGAAACGAGGGAAAGGAAAAAATTTAAAAAATATAGGTTATTGATATTGTGGACACTCAATAAAGACATTAAATTTGAAAATAAATAAAAGTAAAATCGAGAAAAATCAAAATAAAATCGATAAAATCAAAAAATTAAATAACGCAGACAATTAAAAGTCAATTAAAACAAAAAAGAAATATAATAGAATTAAAAGAGATGAACAGAGAAATAGAGAAAATAGCACACCAATATTCTGCCAAAACCACATTTTGCCAAAACCACATTTTGCCAATAAGGGTAAAAACCCACATTTTGTCAACAAGCAGCGTTGACAAAACGTAAAGTTTTAGGCTTATTGGCGAAATGTGTTTTGGCAAAATATGGCGATAATAGAAAACAAGCACTTTTCTTTAAAAGATATAACGCCAAGGAAAATTAATTTTTAACGCCAAAAAAAGACATTTAATTTAAATTAAGAAGAAACTTGGGTATATTTTTGGGGTTTTGGGTGTTCTTTTTAAGTTTTTCGAGTAACTGCATTTGTTTAAATAATTTTAAAAAAATAAAGGTAAATTGTGAACGATTTTATAGCTACAATTAAAATTAAAAATTAATAAAGAGAGGATTTTTAAAAAAAAAGTTTCAGAAAAAATATTAATGACTGGCCAAAAAGCCCAAATAATATTTACTGAATATTTGTATTTTTTCCTAAAAATAATAAAAAAGACGAGTTGGCATCATTTATACAAGTGAAAAAAAAGGAAAAAAAGAAAAACTGCTTTTTTCATAGAAGAAAAAAGGACGTTCTCTCCTCTTCTCTCCTCAACCCGGGCGACGACAACGACCAAGCATATAAGAGGCGCTATAAGGATTGGGGAGAGAAGGGTTGGTTAGTGTACTTATTATTTAAAGGGAGAAAACTCTCTTTTAAAAAAAGAATATTTTTCTTCGTCACCACATTTTGCCAATGCCACATTTTGCCAATAAAGCTAGAATCCCACATTTTGCCAAAAATCTTATTGGCAAAACGTGGCTTTTTACCCTTATTGGCAAAATGTGTCTTGGCAAAATGTTCTTCTAACGCTTCTCTCTATTACTCTATATCAATATATTTTTTAACTATTAAAAATGAGAGAAAAATAAATGAATGGAAGAGAGTAGCACATTTAAAAATTTTTTTTTGGGGGGAAATTTTTGAGAGAGTTTTGAGAGAGAATGAAAAGTTATATTAAAGAGATATAAGAGAAAAGTAAATATATTTTTTTGTATAGTTAGGTCAGAAAATTATGCTGCTACTAAAACAAGAAAAGGAGGAGGGGGACCTACTATCTTTTTTTTAGTATTGGGTATTTAAATTGAGGAAAGAAAAATGTGGTGAAAATGATGCAGACAAGTGGGGGGAACAAACTATATGAGCAACATGTCGATTTGAGTCGAAGAGCTGACGCAAAAGGTGTCAGACTCTAATGGGATAGAATTCTAATCGTGAGACTCAAATGGTTTGTATAAAGGTCAGACTCCTACTAGATCAGACTCTAATTCCCTTTCCAGACTCTAATTGACTCTACTAAATGTTCAGACTAGAGACCGGCAAAATCGCACTTCCGGGATCCCGAGTCGGGATTTTATTTTCTAACCGATGCCGGGACGGGATCCCGAGGGAGTAATCCCGAAAAAATCCCGGATCCCGAATGATCCCGAAAATCAAAAAAATCCGGGATTTCGGGATCCCGGAAAATCCCGTCGGGATCCCGTCCCGCGCCGGTCTCTAGTTCGGACTCCAATGTGCAATAAATTTGCTCTATCATGTTTAAAGTGTCGATTACTGTAAATTTAATGCCAAACGTCAGACTCTACTGACATCAATAAATGTTACGACTCTAAAGAACCCTAATTTTTTTCATTTATTGCGGCAGGCTGTGCGCCAAAATTTACGCGTGGAACGCCAAACGCCAATTTTTCAAATTTTAAAAACACGCCAAACGCAAAACGCCAAAAATCGCCCAAAAAGGGACGCCATAACGCTCAGCCCCGGTGTCATATCGAATTTCAATGTGACTCAGTTGTCCCTTTTCGGTGATCTTCCGGATACTTGACCTTTAAAAAGAGTAAAAAGTCGCCAATTTTCTGTTGTGCTCTCAATTTTCCATTGTTGTTGAAGCTATAACTAGTGTAAAATAAATATTTTCTTCTACAACAACCACATGTAATTTGGTCAAAGACACATTGTCTCCTCTCCCACTATTTAATTTTTCTATTTTGTTTTTAAAGTCATTTTCTTCTTCGATTTTCGGCTAGCAAGTGTGTGTATTTGTTTGTTTTCTCTTTTCTTCTCTTTCATGCTTGTTTGGAGGCGAACCCAAAAGATCGAAAAATACGAATATTAACTTGTAGTGATGTTCGAGAGTCTCGGTCTCGACTCTCGAGTCGAGAAATTTCTCGGGTTTTTTGAGCTCTCGGTCTCGGTCTCGGTGTTTTACTCTCGGAAAACGAGACTAAATTTACACCCCTAAAGACGGAAATTTTTTGAATTTTACTTTACCCCTCGTACTTTAACATTTAATTTTTTAAAGAAAAGGGAAAGAAATATTTATATTTTTTCCCACTTTTACTTTTGTTGGTTGATGGTTGAGTGGTGAAGTCGACTGGCTTCATTCACCTAGTTACTCTTATAGTGATGGGTTCGAATCCAAGGGTGGAATTGAGTCTGAAAAAGTTTTTATATTCAAAAATAAATGTCTTTTAACTTTGATTTTGATTTTAAAATTTATTTTTTTTTAATATTTTAAACTTCAAAAGACATTAAAAATGCTAATTTAGTTATGAATTTTTCAAAATTTTCGCCTGCGGCGCAGAAAATTAAAAAGTTCTGGGTTCATGATCATCTAAACTTCAAAAAAATATCTGCCTAAGGTCTTTGAAATTTCTCAAAATTTTCGCCTCCGGCGGTGAAAAAAGGAAGAGATCTGGCTATTGACCTTCCAAAATTCTCAAAATTTTCGCCTGCGGCGCTAACAAAAGACATCTGGCTTTGTGGCACTTCAAAATTTTCGCAAAAATTTTTTAATTTAATAGGATTAAAAAATATGAGAGGGATATCTGGGGATTCGAAAGGATTAAAGTAAGCATCAAGGGACTTGTTCGTTGGATTTGGAGGGATATCGATGGATAATTTTAAGCGATTAATGTGAATATCATTAGTGGATTAAGGTGGATATTGAGAGATTATTGTGGACTTGGGGATTCAAGAGATTTTGGAATTATGAGGGATATAAATGGATTTTTAGGGATTAGGAGGACATCAAGTGATATCCCTCTTATTCTCTCGGTCTCGACTCTCGGTCTCGACTCTCGACTCTCGTTTTGGTCTCGGTCTCGGGGTCGATTCTCGGTCTCGGTCTCGACTCTCGACTCTCGGGATTTTTTGACTCTCGAACATCACTATTAACTTGGCCTCTTTTTAAGACAATCAAAGTTTTAACCTTTAAAAAGAAGGCAGGGATTGAATTTTGGAAGGGAATGGACAATAGAGTCTCAACTTTAATTTGCAGTTAAACAAGGAAAAATGACTGGGAGGAAAGAAGAAAAAAATTGTTCGGGTTGTCAGTTGAACGGATAACCGGGATATCAGAAGGTTGGACGGATATTGGAAGATACCAGAGGATTTGAAGGGATATCAGGGGATTTGAAGGGATATCAGGGGGATTTGGGGAATGTCGGAGGATCAAGGGAAACCTTAATTTGCAGTTTAATAAAGAATAGATGGAAGGAAGGAAAAGGATAGTTCAGGATATTAGTTGAACGGATACGGGGATATCAGAGGTTTGGGCGGATACTGGAGGATACCAGAGGATTTGAAGGGATGTCAGGGGATTTGGGTAATATTGGAGGATCCAAGGAATCTAAGAGGATTTTGAGGGATTAAGAAGACGAATTTTGGGGTTGAACTCCTTTCCATCGGCTCCCTTAAATGAATTGGACAATACATCCCAATACACCAAAGTGGCAATACTAAAGGATGGATATGATTTGGGTGGTAGCTAAATTGTTGAAGAAAAAAAATTTTTTACCACGTTAAAAGTTAACAAAGATAATTTTTAATAAAATGTTAACCCCCCCCCCCCCCCCAATATTTTCATAGAAAAATTGAACATAGTTTTCAGACTTGATAAATTAAAGAAAAAAGGTTCTTTTTATTTTTAAGGCTTTTCTAAAGGCCCCTTCTTTTGTACGTTTGCATCACCTGAAAAATAAAAAAAATTTAAAATAATTTGTTTTTAAATAAAATTTGGTTTTAGTGTTGTTTACCCCCCTTTTTGGTTAGTTTCAGCGATTTTCTGAACCAGAAAGCAAAAAAACAAGTCCAAGACCCAAATGTCTATACAAGTACGGTCTTTAGTTCAGACCCGAGTTAAAGAACCGAGGATTTTTCGGTTCGATTCCGAATATCCAAAAATTTTCCAATAACTTACAAGCCACAAATTTGACTCTATCAATACTTCCTTCAATAGGCCTCTGAGCATCACGAAATTCGACATTTTCCATCATAAAAGTCCAGACATTGTCACAGAAACGATATGCACGTAGTTTTTCTGCCTTTAAAAAAATCTTTTTAAAAAATTTTTTTTAATAACCCCAAGTCCGGTTATTTTTCACCCCGTCGAACCGAATTTAAAAATATTTTTTACTACCCTCCCTCACGCCAGGAAGTGGTTTGGGGTTATGAAAGTTGAGCATACGGAAAAAGGTTAAGGGCTTCGAGTGACCGACCCACAGCCCAACAACCCACCCCCCAAATCACTCCAACGCCTAAACGAATTTTATGGGGACCAAATGTCACCTCATCAAAATTCTTCCCTTTTCTCACCTTAAAATTAACTTTATTTCTTGCCCTTTCAGACAACGCTTTATTAATGCATTTATCAAAGGTTGTCATAACAGTGCCAGCTAATTGTTGAGAAATTAACCCTTCAGTAATTAAATCATCTAGGGAGGCTTTAAAAACAAAAATTTTTTAACTTCAAATTTCAAAAAAAATTTTTTTTACGCACTTTGCAATGCAACACCAATAGTTGTTGAACGATACATTTGATAAGTCATTTTTAATTTTTTTTGAAAAATTATTTTTTTTTGATGACTAGAAAAAATTTTTTTAATTAAAGAAAAATAAATATTAATAAGATATCAAATGAAAAAAAAATCATTAAAAATAAATTTTTAAAAATTATAAAAATAAAAATTTTTATTTTTAAATATATTTAGCTAGATAACAAAAATATAAACAAATTTTTTTAATATTAAAAAAAATTTTTTTATGGGACAAAATGTCATCCCTCTTAAAATATTAAAAAAAATTTTTTTTAATTTGTCACCACTAACAAATAAGGTTGGCGGATCCTGATCCGAAGAAAAAGACCGTATAAATATATCCGCAAATTTTCGTTTCGGATATCACTTTATTTCTCAGGATCCGCCAACCTTACTCACCACAACTATCTATTTTCTTCAAAAAAAATTTTTTTTTAATTTTTCCCTAATTTTTTATTATTAAAAGCTGATAACATCTTATCCCAAAAAATTTTTTTCTAATATTAAAATCAACAAAAATATTTTTAAATTCTTTTAAAAAGAAAGTTCAAATATTCTAATTAACCCCCCTTCACATCCCGTTAATATTTTTTCAATTCCATCATCAACATTATTTTTTAATTTTATAGCAGAGTAAACTTGATCACCTCCCCCATCTATTTTCTTTAATAAAAAAATTTTTTTACATATTTAAAAAAATTGAAAAAAAATTTTCTTTCCTTCCCCTTACCCCAATTAAATGCCCATTTTTAGCATCCCAACTTCGAATAGTTCCATCAACACAAATTGAACTTAAACTAATTGAAGAAGCATTTACACTATTAATATTCCAAAAACAATCAATTACTGCCTCATCTGTAAAAAAATTAAAATAGAAAAAAACCAAAAAAATACAAATGTAATTTTGAGAATCTATTGGTAAATTTTTAAAAAAATTTTTTTAAATTTCAGTTCAATCAACAGAAATTAGTTCCATCAACTGGGGGAGGGGGGAGGCGTCAAGCTGATTTTTAAGGCAAGAAATTAAAAAAAATTTCAAATTTTTTTAAAAATTAAGAAGACTCATAAACCTATACAAAGCCTCACCGTATTAACGATAGAGAACATAAACTAGGTGAGATTGAAATATTATATGTATGTTGGACAATAACTGCTGCAAGAAGTCGCAGGGTCATTTCCGTTTTCATATATTAAGATTAATTAGAACATTGAAAAAGCTCTACGAGCCAAGTCGCATGACGCAAAAATCAACGTGATTTAATATGTTTTGACAAAGCTATGACGAAAAAATATATTTTGATGGTTTTGCAGCACGCGTCTCGCAAAGTATTTTTCCAAAAATTTTTTTTAACAGAATGGGTAGTGAATGCATCCTACTTCCAGAACGTGTGTTAAACTACTTGCTGAAAGCCTCCACCCTCTGGCGATAGATGAGCTGTTCTTTCTGCTCCGCCTTATGCAAGCCTGAACCGCACAACGTTCTGGTTCGTCGGGTTGTGGAATCGTTGACGCAATTGCTGCATGACATTCTCCAGTTCCCCTTCTGTCATTTGCAGTTGTTGCTTCGGGTAGCAGCAGTTGTGTGTTGGAGACGACATTGTTGGAGACGACATTAGTCCTGTCGATGACTGGCGTGATAAGAGGCAAGGAGAGATATAGAACATTTCAATAAAACTGCTTTTATAACCTCCAACTCTCTTCTGGCAATCTCGGTTTTCATTCCTGATAATATACTATAAAAGCCCCAACATTCATCCGTTTCCCACCAGCTCTACAAAACATTCACTTCATCTCATTGAACGTCAACATCGTCTACTGCAACTCTACATGCTCATCCGTTGCCTTCTTCCAATGGACCTCGACACCGGACCCTTGGCCAAAAAGTCGTCAACGCTGTGCTCTCTGCTGCTGCTGCTCACCATCGCCACACTTGCAGTTCCCGGACAGGTCAACAGCGAAAAAGTCGGATTCGGCAAGCACACAAAGATAAACAACGACACAGTGACGCTCACCGACAAGACCATAATTGCCAACAATACGTACTTCAACTTTACTAGTTGTCGCTTCAAGGAGCTGTATCCGGACGCCTGCGATGTTACAATCAAAGACGGCTACATGTGAGGAATTTTTTATTCTTTTAAAGACTAATCGTAACTAACATTCTATTTTATTTCAGCGAGCTTCGGTACAACTACGGCAGCAAAGGATGCACTGTGGACCTGCTCAGCACTAACGCGGCAAACATCAACGCGATCAAGTTCAAAGCCGGAGTGCGAGGAGACGCAAAAGGAGGACTCAGCAAATGCCTTGATGAAACTACCCGCTTCAGGGACAGCTATAACAACACGTGAGTTTTTTTTGGGTTGATCGATTTGGATTTTACCTAATAGCACTTAAACTTTTCAAAAAATATTTAGCCTGCCTTTCGTCTACAGCGCGAGCAGCGCTTTCATAGAAGAGCTCAACAATCGTAAACATAGGAATTCTGAGGGTGACTGCAGCAATGATTGTAAAGCATTCGATGGGATTTGCATGAATCGAACATCTCTTCAAGTCTCATGGAGCAAGTCTGGGAATATGGTCTATGGTTACACACATCTAAGTAAGCTTACACGCATTTAGGTAAGTTAAATATAAATTAAAATATTTTAGTTGGAGAAGATCAAACCCTTGGTCTTAAGCGGAACAGAACGAGCGTGAATGACAGTGCGACCTTCGATCTGGAGATAAATAGCGGCGGCTTCATTTTTGGCGGAGAGCACTCCAATCCTTCGACGGCGGCCGTCTGCGTATCGAGGGAAAATCCCATTGGCGAACCCAAAGCATGGACTATAAAGGATGGAAAGCACAGGGACAAACACTTGCTCGTCTTCAGCCTGCTCCGACAAACCTCTTCTCTCATCTACAAGGGCCCTTTTCTCACAAAGGATCATCCGAACGGACCGCATTGTGAACTCTTCATTCGATTTGTGAGTTTTTTTTCATTTTTTCCTTTCTGTAGCTATTTTTGCATAGCTTTCTAATAATTTCGTTTTTCATAGGATACAAACGACTACAGCCTGTTGATTGTCGACAACCTTGGAACAACAACGCCCCCGACTACGACTGCAACGACCACAGCAGCGGGAACATCAGATCCGCCTGAAACGACAAAAGATCCCTCTGGTTCTTCATCGACAACTCCGCCTGTGACCACCAACAGCTTCTCTTCCATCAGAACGACCACTCGAACAACGACAAAGTGCTCGGAACAAAAGGAGTGTGGCGGAGGTCTCCTTGCAATTGGCACTGCTGCTGCTGGCCTCTTTGTGGGGATCATCATTGCAGTTTTGGTCTGGTTCTGGATGAAGGACAAGGCAAAAAAGGACGCTGAACGTGCAGAAGAAAAACGTCTGCTTGCGTTGTACAAGGCTGAAGTGAAGATCAGAGGCAAAAAGGCCCTCGGGACATTTGATGTGTGGAAAAAGAATGTGAGTTTAAAAATTTGAGAAAATACCTCATTTAATCAACCTTTTCCCATTTTTCAGAGAAAGGAGAGTGATGAAACGACTGCGTTTGAGATGGGTTCAGTCGACGACATGATCGCTGTAATCTGGAAGAGAGTGGAGAAAGAGCACGCCAAAGCCAAGATGCAGTTCCTTGTAGACCAGTTCGAGAAGCACAGGGACAAAGAGGTCTACGCCTGCGAATATGAACCGGAAAAGGCTAAAAAGGGATATGATGCCGTTGGGAACTTCCTGTATTGGAAAAGGGTGAGAAAAATATTTTTTTTAAATGTAACTTGGTCATTTTTATATTTTTCAGATGAAGAAAATCTATCCGTTCGAAGTGATCGATGGAACATCAACTGCGCTTGAATATGGGGCGGGAAAGAAGCCATATGATAAGCCGTATCTTCCCGGGGCCGTTGATGAGTCGATTCCAGAAACTGAATAGGGAGGAGGAGTTTGGCCCGGAAGTTGTGTGAAGGTGACGCTTGAGATATAAAAATGTGTGATTATCTATATATTGTTCCTTTGCTATGTCCCCCATATATTGTTCACATTGTTCCCCCCAATATATTATACTCATTGTGTGTATTGTATATTTCTTGTTGTTTGTATTGTATTTGAATTGTTGTATTCAATTGTATTTTTGTATGTGTGTAAATAAATTGTTGTTTGTATCGTTTATTTGATTCGATAAATTAGGGAAAGTTTAACTACCCAAAACTTTGAAAATTTCTCCAGAATTATACAATCCCTAATGTAAATAAATTAAGTTTCAAAGCAGCTTAAACAATTTTTTCCTTTGCAATATTTTTTTCAACAGGTCAGATATGATTCCTTTTGCAGAAAATTCTCTTGACGCCTTCTTTTACTTTTTAAAATTTAGACTTAATTTTTTAATGGATTTACTACACCCTCCTTTACTACCACTCCAAATTCAGACAAATATTCATCAAAAAAGATATAAAGAAATTTTTTGGGTACACCCCGAAGTACCGCGAGACCAAGGCAAAGCCAAACTACAACTTCGTTCAGAATTGTCGAATCAGGGACACCCTTTTGTATGGTTCTCTATTAAGCTCTTCGAGGCGCATCGAACCATATCGGAACGTCCCCGCAATACCTTGCCTGCACCCATTTTTAAAAATTAATAAAAACACATATCCTTACCTTCATTAAAAAATTCATAACGTCCAGTTAAATGTTCCCAATTAAAAATAATTAATTTTCCATTAGCCATACCACCAGCCAACCAAGGAAAATTTCCAGGAAAAAATTTTATACATTCAACACTGCAATTATTTTTGTTGTTTTCCTCCTCCTCATTTTCTTCTTCTTTTTTATTCGAAGTAATAAATACATGAATTAATTTAAGTTTTTGATCAATCAAATTAATTGTAATTAAAGCTATTTGACCATTTGAACAACCTATAAAATTTAAATTAAAAATTTTTTTAAGAACAGTACTGCCGAACAACACTAACTAGACTAGATAAACGGGTTCTTCCTATGTTGAATTCATGTCTGTTTACTGGTTTTTTGAAGTTTTATGTCATTAGGAGTCTTACTGATCTTACAATTGTCCGCAAAATTCGCAAAATCAATCCGAAGGTCAAAAATACCGCAATTCGCCCTGCTCGTAAAACAAAGGGCATAGAACCTTATCGTGTCTTAACAAATAAGTGTAGCTCTGTCGGTAAAGCAAAAAAAAATTTCATGAAATAATAAAAAATTTTCCAACTCACACTCAAAGTGATAGACCTAAAAGAGTACAGCCCAAAAGGCGCAAGGCCATAACGGCTCAAAACATAACTTGCTTCAAGATTTCAGAATCTTAAAAATTTGGTATTAAGCATAAGAGTTGTACCAAAATTGGTAAGGGCCAGAAATTTTCCAGCTAGTTATGGCTTTGCGTCGTTATGGCCGCACGCTATTTTGGGCGTGTCCCGCCTTAAAATTAAAAAATTTTTTTCATTTCTGAAAAAAATCCACATTAAAAAATCAACATCAATCAGATAAAAATTTTTCTCTAAAAAAACAAACCCAAAGCTGCCATATTCCCAGACAAATGTAAATCCATTGCACCAGTACAAGACCCAGGCAAATTAACTTCACTTGTACAAACAGCATTTTTTAAATCCCAAATTTTTGCTACACCTTCTTCATAAACTGATAAAAAATGTTTTGCACCTTCAAGGAATTTGCCGGCCACACAAGGAGAATTTGTAGAATTTGGGAAGATCCAAAAATTAAAAAAAAAAAATTTTTTTTAAAGAACTATCTAACTTTAAGATACACTCGATACTAGATAAACCTCCATTTAATAGACGTCTTTTAAATTTTGGTTGGGTCCTAAATAGGGAGAATGGGTCGGGGTTGAGAAAAAAGAAGCCGGATCGAGCTTTCGAGTCGAGTTTTAAATTTTTTTGGATCCTACTAGGTGCACCTCTATAAGGTGCATGAGGTACACAAGCGCTACCCTCTTTATTAAAGATACACTTTATTACAGACCTGCTCATGGATACGGATTTTGCTATCCGTATCCGGATATATCCGTGAGGTCCATATCCGTATCCGTTTGTATCCGTCCAACTTCTTAGGCATATCCATCCGCGGGTATCCGCGGATATATCCGTTTTTTCTCAAAATGGTCAAATTCATTTAAATTCGAGTAATGGTTAGATAATGAGGTAATAACTGTATGCATCAAAAAATTACCGGAAAATTCTTCGTTTTCCGGTAATTCTTCGTTTTCGCCCCCCCTTCTTTTTTTGACCATTTTTTTATTATTTCTTCCCTTTCTCTCTTATTTTTCATGAGTAGCTAGGAAGGCTAAAATGGAGTGTGCGCCAAAATTTTGGCAATCACTTTTGCGTTTGAACGCAGAATCAATCCTACAGATATTATTTTCCATTCCCAAATAGCGAGGTTCAATTGTAATAATATTGAAAAAAACCTTAAATTGTTGAACATTTAAACAATTAGCCTCATTCAAAATTACAAGCCACATCCAAATAGAACCATCACCCGAACCAGCAAAAAGAATTCCATTAGCTGAAGGATGCCATAAAAGCCATCTAATATGTTCAAAACTATTTTCATGTTCTTCCTCTTCTTGATTGTCAGACATTTGTTGTTGTTGTTGTTCAGATGTTGATTGACAATCTTCAATCTAAAAGGAAAATTTTTTTTTTAATTTTTAAAAATTGGGAAGAAATAAAAAAAGTCATTGCAACGTTAGAAAATGCCAACCAAATTATAAAAATACCTAATACATTCTATGACATAAGGGCTAGACGACTCCGAAAGACCCCAAAACCCAGTAAGACTCCAAAAGTAAAACCAGCAAGACTCCTACTGTCATGACTTTAAACACCATTACTAACATGAATTTAACAAAGGAAGAAACCTTTTATTTAGTATAGTTAATGAAAAACTCACAGACAACCTCTGGCAGTTATTGCTAGGCAGTATCGCACGTAAAGATGCTCCACTAAAAGGTGAACTGCTGACTAATGTAAGCTATCGGAAATTCTGCTTCATCTTTTCCCTTCTTTTTTTTAAATAAATCTTAAACCCCCACCCAGTAAGTGTTTAAAACGATAGCTGGACTAATTTAAAAAGAAAACACAAAACTATTAAAGTAGATGGTTCAGTCTCATTAGAATCCTTCACAAGAGTGCAGACAATTCTCCCTGACATATCTCCACTTGCTTAATTTAAAAAAATTCTTTTATAAATTTAATAATAAAAAACCAAGTAAATCACTGCTGCAATTCCACGCTAGGCAATGAACAGAATCGACATGTTTTCCAACAATATGTAAATGTTGACGTAGAGCTTTAAAAATAAAAAGAGAATAAGTTTAGTTGTTTTTCATAAAATTTGATTGTTCAATTGTTAAGTTAAGCTATTCGATTCAAATTAAAATTGGGCTAATTTAACTTATTACTAGTTTAAATCAGCTAAAATGTTTGGAAGTATAGTTGTCATAACCACACAGAAAAATCGAAAGCAAACTTGGTAATAATACGCATCTGGATTGCGAACATCGCCTGCATCCGCCGTAAATATCCGAATAACAAAATCTATGTTCATTACTACGTCTGATCAAAACAAAAAAAAATCCTTAGTCCTTTGATTAAGTTATGTTCCCAACTGACAACTCTAAATATTTGTGTAAATATTAGTGTTCGGTACGGTACGGTATACCGCGGTATTTTTCCCGGTATACCGCGGTATTTTGTTCCGGTATACCGATACCGTACCGGTCAAATTTTGAAAAAAACGGTATTTTTCGGTATCGGTATTTTTTCGGTATACCGATAACGAATACCGGAAAAGGTCATTTGCCAAACACTAGTAAATATATACACCGACTCAACTACTTTTATCGACCCTCTCATCCTCAATGTTAAAATCTGTTGATTACTTTGTGGAGCTACTTAACCTACAAATCACGTGCTCTTCACCAAAATTTTCAGGAATTTACTTATAACACCCTAACAAGATATAAATAAAATTATACCAACGTTTTTGACTTGTATCCCAAACTGCAGCTGTATCATCCTTTAAAAAACCCAAACTTAATAAAAATTCGAATTATTCCCCAAAAAAACCTCAGAACCAGTAGCTACCCATCTTTCATTTTTTGACAAAGACAAACAAAAAACATCTTTTTTATGCGCTTCTATCCTCTCTATTGAATTGTCAACAATTAAAGATTGTTCGTCTTCTCCCTCATTATTTTCTTCCTCCAATACTTCATCATTTAATGAGGACGTCAAATTTTCTCCGTCTTCCTCCAAAAACAAACCTTCAGATTCACATTTTTGTTCATATTCATCTTCTAAAAATAAAACTTCGGGTTGTTCGTGCTGTTGTTCATCTTCTTCATCCATTCCTTCCCCTCCTCCATTATTTTCACCATTCATTTTTATTAACAAAAAATTTTTCCTAAAAAAATTTTTTTCCTAAATATATTTTTTTAATTTAATCAAAAGATATAAAAAATGTAAAAAAAAAACATTTTTAAAAAACAAAAAAAAATTTTTTAAGAGGTCAAAAAAAAATTTTATTCTCATTTTTCCAACATTTAAAAACAACAATAAAAAAAGCTTAAAAATTAACAAATGTCTCGTGAATTTTTTAAAATTGAAAGAAGACTACAACCAGACTTTACTTATAAGATACCCCCAAAAACAAGATAAACCTGCAATGTGGTTAGCCACTAATATGAGCTGACATAAGCGAATACTTCTTTAAGAATATCACTCTTTAAAGGGACTAAATTGAGCTAACATGTGAAAAAGATATATAAAGGAAAGTCAAATCACACATCCCTTGAAAACAGGACTGTTCGAAAATGAGGATTGTTTTTTGGATTTTATGGTTTTTTGGACTTGCGGACTGCGGCTACAGAATTTTTTTTCAATTGCGGACAGCCCTGATTTGAACCCCAAACTGAGCTGACTTATAGAAAAATGGAGATGAAGTATGAAAGGAAATGACAAAAGATTCAAGATATACCTTAATATAAACTATACAGTAGTGACCGGCAAAAAATGTCTGTCCGGGATTTTTTGTCTCTTATTTATTTATGCAGCGCCACACGCTATTTCATTTACTCCCGAATCGTGTCTAACAACAATCCCGAATGATGAACAGGTTGCGTATTTCTCTGCCCCTCGTTGTCTGCTTAACTACTCGGGATTTTTGTTAGACACGATTCGGGAGTAAAAGGAAAAATTAGACAAGTGAATGTCCATTGAATGACCAGTTGTAGAAAATAGAAGATTGCCGGTCTCTACTATACAGGTTTTATCAGCAAGTGGGTATCTTTATAGTAAAATTAGATTGTAGTATAGTTTACACAAACACGTGCTTTTTTAACCTTTAAAAATCATTTAACAGCACGCTAAAAAAGGATATACCGTATTTCCTGAAATAGTACTCCCCCCTGAATTAGCACTCCCCCCTTAAATAGTACTCCCCTTTAGAGGAGGGTTGAAAAATAGTACTCCCCCCTGAATTAGTACTCCCCCTAAAATAGCACTCCCCCCTAAAAATTTTTCTCCTATATTTGAAAAAATAAAAAGAGACTCATTGAATTATTTTATTTATTCTAAGTAGCGTTGTCGGTTTCACTTGATTCTCCGATAAACAAAACCGGAAAGCCTTCGGTTAACCGAAAACGAACTGAAATTTTAACCTAAAATTTTTCGGAGATTAAAGAAATACAATCCGGTTAATTGGTGGGGTAAAAGTGGATTTTGGGGGATATAAAGGGATTGATATCTGATGATAAAATGGGTTCTGGATTGATCAAGTAGGATTTAAAAGATATCATTGGATTAAGGTTTGATGAAGGGATTTGAGGGGAATACACACAAGATTAGTTAACCCTATGAGATTAGTTAATAGAGGGATACACACGAGACTAGTTAACCCCCTGATAAATTCCTAGACAGAGATATTTCCACTATATCCCAAAAAATTAATTGATAATCATTTTATTAATATCATTTTATTATTATTGATAATCATTTTATTATCATTTTAATATCAACTTTATCCCCTCAAATCTCACGATATCGCTTTTAATCAAAAATTACCTGGCATCCCTACTAATCCGCTAAAACGTCAATATCCTTCTCAATCCTGATAATTTTTTCGACATCCAACTTAATCTATCGATATCTCTTAATCGCTTAAAATCCCATTATACCCCTGGATATCACTCCAAATCCACTAATATCCTTTTTGCTTTCCCTCAATAACCCTATTTTAAGTCACTTGTGTTTAAAAGTCTCGCAAGTTGCTCAATTTTATACTAATTTGGAATCCACATTTCTTGAAAATCCAAATTTGGATCCGGCATTTTTCAAATTACGAACTCTAATTGATTTAAACATTTAAAATTTTGAGACAAATTTTCCTAAGATAAATCATGGAGGTAGGTTGAAAAATAATACTCCCCCCTGAATTAGTACTCCCCCCTTAAATAGTACTCCCCTTTGGAGGAGGGTTGAAAAATAGTACTCCCGGGAGTACTATTTTAGGAAATACGGTATATTAAATTTTAGTATTAAAAATACCCGTCAACAGTCTTTAGAAAATTGTTTTTATTTTACAAATATATTTAATAAATGTAAATTAAAACCAGTAAACATTTTTTGAATTGCCAATAAGAAGGAAAAAAAATTTTTTTTAGACAAAATTAAATTTTGTGTGTGTGAATAAAATTGGATGAGAAAAACCCAAAAATCAAAAAAATATTTTTCTAAATAAGCTCGTTTTTAAATAAGAAAAACGGAGCAATCCTCTCTTAAATTAAAATTATACATAAATTAATAGAGAAAAGTTGAAAAACAAATCAGAGCAAAACTTTGACCAGGTTTTCATAGAGCTAATCTTCTGACAAGGGAACCTCACGAACTGAAGTCGAAATTTTGGACTTTTTTGGTACCAATCAATAGAGCATCATCGATTTACTCTAGAAAATTTTTTAGCTTTTTTCTAGGAATATAAAACTAAAAAGTTTTTGATAAAAAAAGGAGAGAGTTTAAGCTTGAAAACCCGGTCTCATGATCAGCCTACAACATCAACAACACCAACAAAAAAATTCCCTAGAAAATAGAAATTTGAAAAAAAAATTTCGAACAAAAAAAATAGAGAAAGTTCACAGGCAAGTCTACTTACTTTTTTAGGGCAGTTTTAATTTTTAACCCAAAAATTAAAAATCATTTTAAAAATAAAATAAAAAATTTACCTACATACATATTCCTTCATTTACTCCTTAAATTAAAAAAAATTTTTTTTTTATTTTTAAAATTAAAAAAATATTCACAAACCTTTTTTCCACCTCTCGAACCTTCTCTATTGTGATGAAGGAATATTATTTACAATTTCACGCAAATCCAAATCTGAAGCTGAACTTGAACGTGTTCCAGCATCTTCCTCATTATTTGAATTTTTATTTGGTGTTGCAAGATTCGTCGTAGTAGAAGATATATTACCTTCATTTGAACAAACAACACCCAATTGTTGACGATTATAAATAGGAGGTATAGAAGTAGAAGAAGAAATTGTTTCCATAACAGATAATCTTCCTTCTGCTTCCAAAATTGGTGGAGGATCAATTGCTTGAAAAATATAAAATTTTAATAGGTTAAAAATAATAAAAAAGAAAAGGAGATAAAAAAAGATCGAACAAAAGTGACGGAGTTTCTATTATAGTAGAAAAAAAAAAGGGGGAAGGGGGACAATCTATGGCAGTTATTGCTAGGCGGTATCGTTCATACAGTAAATGTCGTTCTCGTTTTCTACTCAGTGACCACAAAAACTAATCAAAAAAAAACATAGGGAAATAGTAGAGGGGTGGTAGGTCTAATGATTCTACAAAAAGTTGACACAAAATCTCTGTAAGTATAAAATCGTTAAACGTGCCGCCATAAAAATTAAATTCTTGATTTGCAGAAATCAGGACGGCAAGCTTTCTTATTTGTAGCAATGACCAGAAACGCAATAAAACGAATCACTCCATAAATAAATAAATTAAAAAAGTCATTCCCGTTTCCTACTCGGTGCCCATAAAAACTTATATCAACAAAATTTCCAAAAAAAAAACAAACCATGTGTATCAATAGGTTCCATCCCTGGCCTATATTCTGTCATTGTTGTTGCTCTTTGATGATAATTTAATTGTTGATGAGCATGTTGTTGGATAGTATTATAGTTCATTGGAATATTTGTTTGTTGCTGTAAAAATACAGGAATATTGTTATTATGAGCAATATTTGTTGAAGATGTAAAACGATTTGAAGAAGAAGAAGGAAGAATAAAATGCTGTTGTTGTGGATGTTGTGGATGACTGTTAAGTTGCATTTGTTGCTGTTGAGGATTTATTACTGGCAGTCTTCGAATTGTTGTTGGTGTAGAGGTAGGTGTTGTTGAATAAGAATAAGGTGACGGTAATAATTGTTGTTGTTGTTGGTCTGCTCGACGCATTATATTCAAGCCTGATGGATTAGCTTAACAAAAATGTCAAAATGTTTTTAAACAAATTTTTTGAAAGATCGAAAAATGTAAGATACAAAAAAGGTAAAAAATACAGGAATGAAATTAAACAAAAATGCAGGCGCGGGATCCCAACCTCAAAAAATGAAGAGACTTTGGGATAATGACCGGGCCTATTTCAAAATTTCGATTTAGACTTTTAAGGTTTTTTGAATGTCTTCAAAAAAATTTTTTTACAATCGAGGAAATAAATATCCTCCCTCAAAACCCTCAATGATATTTTCCCTAAAAATGCAGGGCGGGATCCCATCCCGTCAAATAAAAATTCAAAAAACAAACTTTGTTCATATAAACCAGATGTTGCTATTCGTTCAGAAAAATGCTGCTGTTCAGAAGGAGGAGGCGAACCAATAATATATTCATTAAATGGAGGATCTTCAGTTGGAGAATTAATATTAAATTGATGTCTTTGTGAATAATGTTGTTGTTGATGTTCTAATGCAAATTCTCCAGAAAGTGAAGACAAAGATTTTGGGAAATATGTTGAAGTGCTGAAAGAAATAGAAAAAAATTTTAAGACAAATTAGGTAAAAATGAGGTGAATAAATAAAATGGAACAAAGAGGACCACCTAAAAGAAGAATGTTTGACCCAAATCGATATTTTTTTCGGCCTGGACTTGATTCAATGTAAAAATGAACGTCTTAACTTTAAACAGAATTTTTTAGCATACGCTTACGCATTTAGTCTGCCGCTTTTCCCCTTATCCATGTCTTGGAGTTCAAACAACTCCAAGATCTCCAAGAAAAATCTATAGAAGCTCAAAAAATGCATAGTTCTGGGCTCCATATGAAGCCAACTCTCCTGACCTTCTACCCAAACCCATCTCTCCATTTTTATATCATAAAAACCCCCTAACAATTTATAATTAAAAAAAATAAATACTTTATTCCTCTATTTAATTGTGTACGCAAATTGTGTTGTTGTTGTCTCAAATAATGATGCTGTTGTTGTTGACGTTGTATTGTTGATGTAAATGCTTGTCTAAATGGTTGTGAAGGAGGATGTTGTTGACCAAGAGTATTTGAAGTAAAATGCTGTTGAGATGAAGAAGGATGAATTCTTTGATTAACAATTTGGTTTTGATAAGAAATTTGATAACATGTTGGTTGTTGAATATCAACCATTGACGTAGATGTTCCAGGTATTGGCGAAGCACTTTAAAGAATTTTAGTTCAAAATAAATTTAAAAAAATAAACCTGATAGCAGAATGTTGCTGTTTTTGCGGATACAAAGTTCGTACTCGTGGTGGTTGAAGGATTGGAGTATCAGATGGAAATGAATCAATACAAGCTAAAAATTATTAAAAAATATGAGTATAAAAAATTAAAAAAATTTTTGTGAGAAATATTCGTGTATAAAGTGGGTAAATGTGACTAAATGGTTTGCGACAAAATGCCACAACGAGCAAACAATTCGCTTTTTTAGAGTAGAGGTCGGCAAAATCGTGTTTGCGGGATCCCGCGGGATAAATCCCGAAAATCCCGCAAATCGAAAAAAGTGCAGGATTGCGGGACATTATAGACCCCCGACCTCTAGTCTAGGGTCTATAAAATACTAGCACCAACGTACATGCGCTAAAGAGAAACTCAGAACTCAATTTGTTAAAAAAATTTCTCTTGGCATTATGTCACATTTCAAAAATCTAAAGACAAAAATTCCCCCTCCCTTACCATATTGTTGATGATCACCTTCTTGAGACGATATAACTGGCCTAAACCGTTTAATATTACTATGAGTAATAGACGATGTTGGTGTTCGTTGTTGTTGTTGATAACGATTTGGAGTAGAAGTCATTAATGCTTGTGGAGCCATTTCTTCTACAATTTGTCTCTTACGGAAAAAGTTAGAATTTGTTTGGTTAGTAGAAGGAAAATGTTGTTGGGGTTGTTGTCGTCTATTAGCTGTTGTTGTTGTTATTGTTGATGATGAAATTATATTATTTATAGTTTTTGGAGTAGAAGAGATAAATTGATGTTGTTGTTCATAATCAACACCTAAAAAATTAAAAAAAATTTTAACCCAAAAAATTTTCTCCTACCAAAAATATTTTGATTATTTTCTCCTCGTGGTGTCCTAATATCAACATTCGGATTTATTATTTCACATCGTGGAGGGGAATTGATATCTACAAAAATGAAAAAAAAATAGATAAGAAAAATATAAGAAAAATTTTTGTGGTTAAGTGGGTTACTTCCGGAATAGTAGGGTATAAGGTTCGAACCTATCCATGTAAAATATTTTTATAATTCATTTTAATATTATCGAAAACATCTTTACCCAGAAAATACCCCAAAAAACCTCCAAAAAAATTTTTTTAATCTCTGTGGTTAAGTGGGTTACTTACAAAATAGGGGTAATAAAAAATTAAATGATAAAATATAAAAAAATTATATGAAATAGGGTTAATGAGATAGGGTTATTGAGATAGGTTCAAATTAAATGAGATAGGGTTCGAACCCACCTACGTAAAATATTTTTATAATTCATTTTAAATATTATCGAAAACATCTTTACCCAGAAAATACTCAAAAAATTCGCCAAAAATTTTTTGAACCAAATAACAAAAGAATGACATTTGATCCCACCCTATTAAAAATAAAAAACTAACAAGATGCTGGACTAGGAGTTGAAGGAATAGCTGCTATAGGAGAATTTGATTTTGAGCTAGTAATAGAATTTGATGCAGAATTTTTTTGCATAGAAACAAGTCCACGTGGATCAACTGGAACAAAACGAGTCCCACTTGGAGAAATATAATGACTTCGTCCAGAGAAGGAAGCAGAAGATATTTTGCGTTGTTGAGGGGTTGAAAGGGGTGAACTTGAGGAATTCTAGAATTTTTTAAAAAATAATTAACCTCTTAAAAAAAGAAAACCGAATCTGTCCCTTTCCATTGTGCATTATTATTTGGACTATTCTTGACAATTATTGTTGTTGTTTTATTTTCAGTGCTGCCTGTAGTTGGAGTTCGTCCAAGTAAACGAAACATAGTGGGAGGCTTTTGTGAGTTAGAAATTGCCTCATGGATAAATTGAGTTGAACGAGAAAACTTTAAATAAATATTTTTTGAAAAATTATTGTAAATAAAAAATTAAAAGACTCAATGCACTAGTCTGGGGATGTTTTACGGTTCCAAAATGTTCCCACGGTTCCATAAAATCGAAATGTCCCCTGGTTCAAGTTTCTGACGATTCTTATGAAATTTTGACAGTTCTATAAATTTTGTTCTGGCCAGTTTCATGGATGGGTTCGAACTCTGTCACTAATATTCCGTAAATTAACCACTTAACCACAAATTAAAAAATTTTATATTTTAAAGTAGAGAACGGACTGGGAGTGTCGTAAGAGAATCGAGATCCCGTCTCGCCCTATTTTCAAAGTCAAAATTCCCAGGGAGGAGAACTCTTCAGCAACACTCTTAAAAATTAAACCAAACCTCATTTGACTGAACAACATTATTCGGCAATTTATTTACAAAATTAGAATGACAAGTTGAATCATTTGTTGACTTTGTCAAGGTTGTATTTTCTTGTGAATCCATATAAATATTTGAAGTAGATGAAGATGTGTCAGAAGAGGGTGAATGACGACTATCAGGACGGTCAACTTCTTCAGGAGTAGTTTTTCTAGTACTTTTAGGGCTTATAGCATCAAAATCTTAAAGAAAAAATAAATTTACAAAAATTAGAATGCAAAAAAAAAATAAAAAAAATAATCAGAATGCTAAGATAACTTGAAGAAATTAATATAAAAATCATTTCCCCGAGAGGGTTCGAACCTACGACCTAAAAATTCAAAATTATCCCACTAAACCAAAATAACAATTTTATTTTTATAAACAGGAGGATGAGAAAAACATGTTTATATGCAATAATCCGACTAAAATAAAAATAAAAAAACGCTTAGCACAACGCTAAAAAAGCCTCAAACCATTAACCAAAATTCAAAATTATCCCACTAAACCAAACAAATAGTAAAAAAAATTCAAACAAAAACCTCTAGTAAGTCCTCTCTGTTTTTGTATTTGTTGTTGCATTTTAGAAAATTGATTTTGCAAATTCAAATTTTGTGGTTGTTCTTGTGGTTGTTCGGAATTTTTATAATTAATACCAGAATATTTATTATAAATTTGTTGAACACTCCCAATACTTTTTTCTTCATTTTTATGAATATTTTGTTGATGATGATATTGAGGAGGTGAAGTTAACTGACCGGGGCGTTTAAGAACTGAAAAAATGATTAATAAATTTTTGAAAAAAAAGTCAATAAAAACAAAAATGTTTTGCCCCAAAAGGGTTCGAACCTTCAACTCAAAAATTACAAAATTATCCCACTAAACCATAAAGGCAAATTTTATTCAAAACCCTAGAAACAGTCTAAAAAATGTGGAAAAAAGAAAAATTTTTGGAGAAAGAAAAAGTAAAAAAAAATAAAAATGTTTTGCCCCAAAAGAGTTCGAACCTTACCCCAAAAATACAAAATTATCCCACTTAACCATAAAGGCCAAATTATTCACAATCCTAGAAACAATCTAAAAAAATTTGGAAAAAAGAAAAATTTTTGAAGAAAAGTAAAAAAATAAAAATGATTTGCCCCAAAAGGGTTCGAACCTTACCCCAAAAATATGAAATTATCCCACTAAACCACAAGGGCAATTTTATTCCAAATCGTTTAAATTTTTTCTTACTTGACGGCCCAGCAATTTTATCCAAATTTGTGTCTCTCTTATTACTTTCCATATTTGTTTGAATTAAATTTGCAGAAGTAAACGAAGTTGCTTGTTGAAATTGTTTAACAGACAAATTTAAAGTTGTTTTTCGTATAGGAGCAGAATGTGAAGAAGTTAATTTGTTGCTTAATGGAGTCTTTTTAAACGTTCCTTTAACAACATCTGGACGTCCAGCAGCCTCTCTTGGATCCCAAAAATTTGTTGCCGTTGAAGGTGTTAGTTGGGTTGGAATGGTGACGAAAGAGTCATCATTTGAGGGAGTGGTTAATTGTGTTGGAATTGTTACAAATGAGTCATCATGTTCGGCATCATCAGTAAAAGTATCACATTCTTGGAGATCATTATTGGAAGGCTTTAAAAGTATTTTTTAATTTAAAGAAAATTTAGAAGGGTTTAGTTAAGCAAAAACAGGTTTCAACCTCCAAGTAACGCCAACAATTCCTGAGTCAGGTTAAATCCTCCAAATTTTGAAAAAGAAACTCCCGACAGGTCTTTATCCTCTAGTCCTTAAGACGATTACCTAGAAATATTTGCAATCTCAAGAAAAATTCCTTCCAACTTTCCGGTCCCAAAATGGAACGGAAGATTCTGGGAGGGAGAAAGCTTAAACTCCTAGGTGCTCAAAAACTTTCCTAGTTAACTCTTTGCTACGTTTCATTTACCTCAAATTACTTTTGAAAAAACTAACTTGATAAACTTTTCCTGCAGATTGGGGAGATTCATCTTCAACATTAACCACTTCCTCATCGTCCTCCGATTCTTTTGTTCGTTTATTCGTCTTTTTCTTCCGTTTCCTTTTTGATCCAATAGCTCTAGATGGTGGAGGTTTTCGCAATTTTTTGGTAGAAACATCTTCGACATTTTCTTGTTCAACAACATTTTTAATTGAATTATGCTGGTGATTTGCCTCTGCGTTTTGTGAAGCTGCCTAAAAAGGAGAAATTTTGAGAACCGAAATACTTTTAAAATCCCAAAAATAAATTTCCTAATGCCTAGACAGTTAAAGAATTTCCTAATTTATTATAAACAAGCCTTAAAAATTCTTGCACCCCGGACGGACTCGAACCCACGACCCTTTGCCTACACACCCAAGAGATATCCCACTAAACCAAAGCCAATAATCTTACTTTTTCTGGAGTTCTCTTCAAAACAAGACGGAGATCATTCCATTTTTCAACCCCATACAATCGAGGAGGTTCGTTTGTTTTTGAAGGTTGTTGTTGTTGCTTGTTTGGTCCTGTTTGCTTTAAAGACGAACTAGAAGCTTTTGAGCTGAAAGATAAAATAATTTTTAAAAAATTCTGAAACATGCACACCCAAGTATTTTACCAAAAGAGTAGACTATGGAATATAAAACGGAGAATACACAAAATTATCTTCCCACATAAGAAAATCGGCATTTCGTGAAGTTACGGAATTTCTAATGATTCGCGAAATACAAGAACACGTAAAAATAGGGGATGTCCCAGAGCTTATTTTTGTGGCTCAAAAGCAGGTTCTTATGGGTAACAAGGAATTCAACTCTTTAGCATTAAGACGCGCTACTGTTCGCCCCAACTAAAGAACAATATCCCACCCAAAGGATAAGAAAATTCATCTCCAAACAAAACCACAAACCTAGGATCTAACGGATGTGTTGTCCTCCATTGATGACCTTCAAAAATTGAAGAAGCTTCAGAAGTCGAGGGGACAGACAAATGATGATGAGGAGGTGACAGAAGGAAGCCTTGACAGTCATCATTTGAATCAGAATTTGAGGAATCTTCTGCGTCTTTTACTGATTGCCGTGCCAACAATAAACGACTTTCTCTGTGTCGAAATTTCCGGTGGTGTCCGAACCCGACCATTTTGACAACCAAAGAGCAGTCCTTTAAAAAAATTAATTTTTGTCGTCCAAAAATTAATTTGTCTCATTATCACCAAATCTTTTTCCGAAATTTCGAGTTTTGACCTTTTTCCGAAACTCTCTGATAACATCAAAAAGGCAACTCTTACTCTCATTCCTAACACACAACTCGGATTTTATACTAATCGGAATGTCAAACGTTTGCCAATGTCAACGACATTTGTCGAAATATCGCCTCTGTTGAATCTTTCTCCAAACGGTCCCAAAAACAAGGTTCTACTTGACTTTACGAGTCCAATCAAAAACAATTGGATTTTTCTTAGTGTTGCGAAATTGGGGTGTGGTTCCAATTTCATGTTCGGGACCTACGCCCACAGGGTCTGGGACCATTCCCTACCCTCTCCCTCGAAATTCTTTCTTCGAAACGCTCTACTAGGACAAAAAAGCAACATTTCTAAAAATAAAAGAAACCTCGCATTTCACCAGCTTCGGAACTTGAGAAACAGTACAAACTCCATAACATACAGCCTCTTTGAAATCAAATAAATTTTAATTCAACCATCTTTCCAATTTTACTTACTATCGTGTGGCAACGTTGCTACGCCAGAAAAGGCAACAATTTCATTCGAACCTCCACCATTCCATTTACTCTCCCCTTCTTCCTCACCATTAAATTGTTTATCGACTTGGTCAAAAAAATTTTCCCAACACAAACCTTCCAAATTTTCAAACTCTCCCATTTATTTAAAAACAATTTTTAATTTGTTTCATTTTTAAAAACTACAGCGAAATTTTTTATTTCATATTAAACACAAGAGAAAAAAAAATGTTGACAAAAAAAATAAATTTTAAAAATATTCGAGGGTTTATACAAACAATTTTTAAAAATTCCAATTAATTATTCATTTTTATACTAAAAAATCAATCAATAACGAAGAAAAAATTTTTTTTATAAAAAAAAGATGAAAAATTGTTGAAATCAAGCTTGGTAATGGATTCGGATACAGATAAGTTAAAAATGCCTGCGGATATCCGTCTGTATCCGCCGTAATATACGGTTACCAAAATCAATGTCCATTAATTACCAAGTCTGGTTAAAATTTTACACAGTTGAATTGCACTCATCTGTAAAAATTAATTTAATTTCTTCAAAAAAGTTTCTCTTCAGAGTAAATCGTATCTCGTTATACACACGTTCTTGGGACCAGAGCTCCGTGGGAATTTCAACAACTAAAACAAAAAATGGAGGTTTCGCTTTGTAGACATCTTCACTCAACCAAATAGAACAAAAAAGCGTACCCGGGAGTATACCACACGAGACTCGATTATTCTTTAAATTTTTACAATTAAAAAATTTTTACAGAATTTTTACAAATTTTTTTTTTGAATGAGGATTTTTAATTAAATCACATTATTTCATTAAATTATCCATTTCTGAATGAGTATAAAAATTGAAAAAACTCAACTCAAATAATCACCAAAATAAAAACCAAGATTTGGTTTTTATTTTTTTAAAAGGTGTCAGTTGAGTCAGAAAAGAGTATTTTTGGTTAAACAAAGAAAAATTAACAAAAGGAGGGAAATAAATTAAAAATAAAAAAATGGCACGAGATATTTGCGAGACAATAACAACGACAGATAAAATTGTAGACTACATGTGTACTAATTTTAACTATCACAAAAAGCTGTGCTTTATCGCAATCCTTTTAGACATCTCTCTCTTAACCCAATTTTATTTAACTAACGATCCGTAAAGTGTTATTAATCCGCAAAGGTGTTGTTGTTATTCGCGCAAGTATCTCTATTCCTTTCTACCATGTTTCCTCATAAATAGTGATCTAAACGTGTACCGTACTAAGGCCGTATTTTCGGTATTTCGTATCGATAGTACAGTACGAAAAAAATTTTCTGTACAGTAACACGGCACCGAAGAAAAATATCGGTATTTCCCGGTATTACAGTCGGTAATACGGTACTGTAAAATTTTGAATTTTCTCGGTAGTATACGATACAAAATTCCGATCACGGTTGGGGTCAGTTGAGCGTGGCCGGTTGAGCGTGAGCCGACCTTTGAACGGCTATAACTTTTTGCTGCTTGATCCAATACGAATGAATCATATATCATTCGAAAGCCCTCGATAAACGCTATCTTTTTTCCAATTTGATGGATCAAGTCTGATCGCTATTTAAAAAGTTACAAGTCGATAAGTGTGAAAAACAACGATTTTCTGCAGTTATCGACTTGTAATATTTTAACCGGTGATCAGACTTATCTATCCAGTTGGGATAAAGATTGGGCACGTCGAGGGCTTTCGAACGATATAAAGTTTATTCGAATTTGATCAAGCTTAAAAAAGTTATAGCCGATCAAAGTTGGCTGACGCTCAACCGGCCACGCTCAACTGGCCCGCTCCGTTCCGATCACGACTCATACATAACTATAAAATATCGAGAATTTTTTTTTGGAATATTTTCAAATTTTAGGCTACAAAAAATGAAAAATCACAGCAAAATAAAAATTGTTAATTAATGTCCTAGATATGTAAAAAATATTAGGAGGCGCCTTTAACTTTTTTATATCACGTGATTTTTTTCCGTCAAAAAAAAAGTAAAAAAAATAAATAAAAGTACAAAAGTTACAGTCCGAATTATCTTACTAATACCCACCCTAATTTTAAATTACCTAGTTTAAAAAAATTTGGTTGGTCTCTAACACCAATCCCACATTAGACTCGACGCTTGACAGTCGTCCGCGTCGAGTATCTTCCAACATTGAAATGGGCACGAATTGCTCTTTCCGTCTATTTTACAGTAAGGTTAAAAATATTTAAAAAAAATTTTTAGGCGATTCCTAAAAGACGAATGGTCTAATTAAAAGGATCTCTAATAAAAAAATTTTTTTTTAATCTTGTTGTGTACTCTCATATTTGCCTTCTGTCAAAAACTGAATTAATAGAAAGTTGTCGATTTCTAAGTAAATGATAACAATTTAGACAAACACGAACAGGATGGTAATTTGATGGTAATTTAACACGTCCACTACTACACGAATTGCAGAATATTAGACCACAATTTCTGTAGAGAAGAAAAAATTTGTTTTTTAAGATTTGAGATTCCCTCCTTGTATTTTTTCATTTTCCCCGTATTCGGTTTAAAACGTGTGAGTAAAGTTAAAAAAAAAGAAAAGGGAAAACTGGCATATTCCTCCAGCTGTTATAAACCCTTACATTCGTTCTCCTCTTCGATTCACCGTCCTGCGAAGAGGAGATCGGTTCCCGTTATCCGAAAATTTTTTCAGTTTGGATATCGGGTCCGATTCTTGGTTCCCAAAGATTTCGGCAGTCGTTTCCCCCAAAGTTTTGAGTGTTTCCCGCTAAACCTTGCGCGAAGAGAGGGGCCCAAACCTTTTTAAATCCCGTTTTGGTTTGAGTGTCAATCGAATAGTACCCCAAGATTTCCCAGGAATCATTAACACTACTCACGTAACCAACACCTCCTAAGTATCAAGGGCGTATCCGAGGTAAACGCCAAAATTTTGGCGCACACCCAATGTTAGCCCCTGAAACCGATCCCCTTTGGATACGCCTTTGCCACCAAAAAAAAGCATTAAAAGCCACTTGTTAAATAAAAATATTTAAATTAATCTCCTTTACCTACAATGATGTCTTCTTTGAATTACCGAGAATTGAATATCACAAAGTCTACACTACAAAAAAAAATTTTTTTCAAAAATTTCCTTTAAAATCCCTCAAAAAACCTGCACAGCCTCTTTATCTTTTATCCATTTTGCATCACTTAAAGGCATAATTTCTTCTTTTAATTCAACCATACGTAATTTTGATTCACTCAAAGCTTCACTAAATTCTTGTAATGCTTGTTTTGATTCACTCAATTCTTGTTTACATTTTCTATAATCTTCTTTTAATTCTAACAATTCACTTTCAATGTTGGTTAAAGCCTTTAAAAATTTAAATTTCACTTCAAGTCTTACAAGGAACCATATCGAACTGTCATCAAAAATTTCGTAATTATTTTTATACCATAGTGTAGTGCGGGTCTATTTTCTATTGGCAATTTTTGGCTTTTTCGGCCTTACCTCCAAATCGGAAAGTTATATGGTCTTAGGATTACTCGTTAAGTTTTTGGAAGTTTCTATAACTAACCAGAATTAGAGAGGTCAACACGGGACGTGATCCCGTTCCCGAACAGATCTTTAGTAGAAAAATCCCTAATAATGGATCCTGCAAAAACGATTTTTGTCGACTTCTAACCAAACTATAGCTTTAGACAATAATAAAAAAAGGTTCAATAAATAGTCGTGGATCGCAAACAAGAAGAAAATGTGTCGCGGAAACTGAAAATGATAGGGAGTGGGCCGCTTTAATTTGTGTCCATTTTATTATGAAAGGAATAACCAGAAAATGATCCACCCAAAAAGTTAACGGATGTTACAAAACCTCGTGGCCCCTTAAAATTATTCAAGAAAAAAGGTTAGAGGAAAAGGAGTGGAATTAAACTCTCCAAAAATACCTAAGAAAAAAAGTAAAAGTTTACAATGAATTTTCCTTCATTCTCTAAATGGATTATAAAATATTTCCCCCAATGTTCCCTTTTTAAAAAAACAAAAAACCTTAATTTTAGCATTTAATTCATTACATTCACTTTTTAATGAATTTAAACTTTCTCTTTCAGCACTTAACTCTTCATTTTTATTTTTAAGCATAGCCATTGTTTCAGAATAAATTTTTGTAATTTTAACAAATTCCAATTTGAAGCATTCTTCTTCCTCCATTTGCTCATTTTTTAAATTTTTTGCCAAAGAAATTAAAAATTCATTTAAATTTTTAACCTCTTTAGTATTTAATTCTTTCATTTTTTCTATATCTGATTGAAATCTTTTTATTTTACATTCTGAAGCTTTTAATTTTTCGTACAAATCTTCGGTAAAACGACGAGTGCCTTTTAATTGGTCTTGACTTGAAAAAAGAAAAAAAATTTTTAATTTGAATTTTAACGATATTTGTAGAGATTGAAGGTCCGCTAGAAAGGGAGCTTGCCAAAGTACCGCAGAGCCTTAACTTCGTTAAAAATGGTCAAATCCGAGACGCCTTGGTATGGTTCGATTCAGCTCGTCGAGGGGCATAGAAGGGCTTCCAGGACTCATTAAACTTTGAACCAAGTTATAGGTTCTGCGGTACCATGGGGTGTACTCCCCTGGAAATTTTTGTAAAAAAATTTTTTTTTGAAAAAATTTGCACTATTCGACAGCTAGAAGTCTTTTCGGATATTCAATTTGTTTTTAAAATTGAAAAAAAAACATCTAAAAACTTAACGGACCCAATCTCTACAAATACCATTTTTAATTAAATACCTAATTGCTAAACTGTCCTCTTTTTCTGCCAATCTTGCTCTCAGAATGTCCCTTTCACGTTCCAAGTCCCTCAAACGTTCAGTAAAAATTAGTGAAGAATCGTTTCTGTGTAAAGTCTAAAAATAGAAATTTTTTTATTAAAAAAATTAAACGAATTTAAAACCTCTTTTGTAGAACATCCATTAGAAAATTTGTCTACTTTAATTTTTAGTTGTTCTATATTAGCACTAAAAAATATTAATTTATTACTATAAATAATATTTTTGAGGAAGGGTTGGAGGCCCAAATCCGATAGTCAATAAAGCCCCTTGCCCCCCCTCTCACCCACCCGAAAAAATCATGACTACGCGCCTGGACCGGATTGAGTCCAGCACATTTCTGAACACCCCATTTTTTCCAACCTATTTTAACTACCAACCTTAATTGTCTATTCCTCTCTTCCAAATATTGTTTTTGATCCAATATAGTCCTCAAATCAGTATATTCCTCTTCTGTAGTAATCGAACAGTCTTTATCGTTATCGAAAGCTTCGGGGAAATGCCCAGGCAAAGTCGGCAGCCGAATATATGGAGTTAAATCGAAAGAATTGATTTGTTCCTTTAAAATAAATTTTTTAGGGAAATTCTAAAGAATTAAAAAAACCAAAAGTGCGTCTTCCTCAACAAGCAAATTGCTATCAAAAACATTTAGAGATAGAAAAGCGCCACAAAGAAAACTGCAACTTTCACTTCTAATTAGCGCCCATGGTTCGTAGAATTGGCTAAATAATTAAATTTATTGCTAAATTAAAGACTAAAGACCCAAAAAGAGTCAAAAATCTAAAACATGAAGAGGGATCAACCCAAAAGATACCCCAAAATCAACTCCCTATTAAACAAATGACCCAGAAGGTCACTCTAAATATTTGGGGGACTCCAGATCAAAAACACGTTTGCCTGCTCCTTTTGGCTTTTCAAACAGTTTCACGAAAGAATTTCCTTCTTATATCTCTTAATCCCGACACAGCTTAGTTCGCCCAAACCCATCGATATCCCCATTTATAGCCACAAATCCTTCCCCAAAAATTGATAATGTTATCAAAAACATTCTTACTCTTTCTTTGGGCACTCATAGAGACATAAAAGATATTCCGCCAGTCTTTTTTGCATTAAAGCCAATCGCCAAAATCCTCTATATTTACTTAACACTGATCTATTCAAAAAAAGAAATTTTCTTAAAAATAAATTTAAAAAAACCTTAAAGTACTCATTCCACCCAAACTATTATACAAATCTTCCATTTCTTTATTCGTTTTGCTTGCAATACCAACAAATTCCCACATCTCAGTTTCTGGAAGTTTTCTTCTGCCAATAAGAGAAGAAGCTGAAACTTGGAAATTTAAGAGATTTAGAAAGTCATATAGTCGTTTATCGGCCCCTTTCTCCTTCACAAGTTTTATTCTTCAAGGTATAATAATGCCCAGATTTGCTTCCCAAATTCCACTTTTTATATTTTTTAGCATAATCGGAATAACACTAAAGCAGAATTCAGCAACTGCGGCCAGGCAACGAACCTGAATCTCCCCATTAATCAAAAGGATTAATTTTGAAAAGGAGAATGGGGCCTGGTACACGACGACATTACAGAGTTAAGGCTAAAATTAAAAAAGAAACCTGGCACTTTAAACCCATGCCAAAGGCACTTTTCGAATATAATGAAGAAATCACTAATTACTTGAGATTCTACCAAGTCCAATATTCGAGTGCCTCGAATTTGATCGTCCAAAAGAGAATTTAGTACTAATCTCATCAATGCGAGAAGATTGCTTCTTTCGTTTTCTACAAGTTAAAAATAGTGTTTTAAATTTAAATTTCGAAAAAAAACCATGGCAAATACGTTGAGCACGTCTCGAAAAGTTTTTAAAATGTTCCTCCACAGAATTCATATTTGGGTGAATTTGGAGGGGTTGTAAAGGAGGATGTAATAAATCCATCGAAAAATCAAGTCTAAAACGAAAAGTTAAGGATAAGGTAAAAAAATTGAAAAAGAGGTACAGCCCAATTAGGCGCGCGGCCATAACGGCGCAAAGCCATAACTTACTTCAAAATTTCCGAATCTTATCAAATTTAGTATTAAACGATTCCTCTCATCGAGCTGAAGAGATTGGTAACAAAATTGATAAGGGCCAGAAATTTTTCAGCAAGTTATGGCTTTGCGCCGTTATGGTCGCGCGCCTTTTTGGGCGTGTTGTTTGAAAAAAAATATTGCAAAGAAAAACAGGGTTTAATTTCCCTAATTTATCGAATCAAATAAACACTACAACCAACAATTTATCTACACACAAAAATACAATTGAATACAACAATTCAAATACAATACAAACAACAAGAAATATACAATACATACAATGAGAGCAATATATGGTGACACAAATTTATCACAACTCCTCTCTCGGGTTATTATTATCCTTCGGTTCCGACGGCGGAATCCACCTCTCATCAACCGGCTCCGGCTCCTCCTCAGACATTGGAACCTCAACACCGTCCACAGCGCCCCTATTCGCCGCCTTTATCTCCGCCAATCTCTCCTGCTCCTCAAGTGTCGGGTTCTCCTCGATTGTCCACTCGTCAGGCTTCTCAATGATGATCCTCTCGACCTCGACGATCTTCTCGATGACCTTTGGCTGCTCGTATTCAATCGCCGTCCTTGTCCCGTCGTTCAAGGTGAACGTCGCCGCAATGTTCTTGTTCTGAAAAATCAAAATTGGGAGGATTAGCTGAGATTCAGAGAAAAAAATGTTTAAAATTCACCTTTTTCCACTTCTCGAAAGACCCAACAGCTGCAAGTCCCTTCTTTTTCAGTTCCGGCGTGTATCCCCGCTCGAAGAGTTCTTTGTCCTTCCGCTTCTCGAACTGATCCACAAGGTACTGCAGCTTGTCCATGGCCTTTTTCTTCTCCACTCTCTTCCAGATTGCTTCGAGCTCGTCCTCGATTGAAGGCAGCCCCACCGCAGTCTTCAGCTCCTTTCTCTGAAAAAATGTAAAGGGTATAAGCTTGATTAATAAGTGAACGATTTTTAAACTCACATTCTTTTTCCATGCAGCGAATGTCCCGACAACCTTTTTGCCTTTGGTCTTCTCCTCAGCCTTGTACAGCGCAAGCAGACGATCTTCTTCTGCACGTTCGGCGTCCTGCTTCCCTCCCTTTTTCGTATCCTTTCCTGCTTTGTTCTTCATCCAGAGCCAAACCAAAACTGCAATGATGATCCCAACAAAGAGGCCAACAGCAGCAGCAATGCCAATCGCAAGGTAGGGAGCTCCGCCACCCTCCTCCCGCTGTTCCAGGCACTTTGTCGCTGCTTGAGAAGTCGTTCTGATGGAAGTGAAGCTGTCGACGGTCGCGGACGAAGTTGGCAATGAAGATGTTGTCGTTACAGGCGTCTCTGATGTTTCCGCTCCTGTGGTCGTTACAGTAGTCGTAGTCGGCTGCGTCGTTGTCGGAGAGTTGTCGACAAAGAGAAGGCTGTAGTCGGATGTATTCTGAAAATGTTACAAAAAAAATATATTATGAAGGTTATACAAAAATTAAAACTCACAAAGCGGACGAAGAGTTCACAATGCGGTCCGTCTGGAGGCTTTGACAAGTTGTCACCATTGTACGTATAAGCGGCAGTTTGTCGAAGCAGGCTGAAGACGAGCAGGTGTTTGTCCTTGTGCTCCCCATCCGTGATGGTCCATGCTTTGGGTGCGAAAAGAGGAGTTGACTCTGGAACGCAGACAGCTTCTTTCGAGGCATTGAAGAATGGCTCTGCCACCGCATACTCAACCGTGAATCCGCTCGCAGTACTTATCTCCAGGTCTAGGGTCATATTCTCACTCACAGACGCTTTGGACCGACTCAAGCCTTGTCCCTTAACCTCGCCAACTAAAATACCTAATTTAAGAAAAAATAAAAACAAACAGGCCTCTTACTTAGATATGTGTGAGCATAGACCTTGCCACCCAACTGGCTCCATGAGACTTGAAGTGATGTATTCAGCATGCATTTTCCATTAATGGCTTGGCAAGCTACATTACACTTTTCGCCTGGATCGTTGTACTGATGGTTGTTGAGCTTTTCGATGACCGTGTTGTTGACGCTGTAGACGAAAGGCAGGCTATAAAGATTAGGATAAATCAACAGAAATTACCTGTCAAATAGCATAAGAAAGTAAAACTCACGTGTTGTTATAGCTGCTCTCGAAGGAAGTGGTCATATCAAGGCATTTGTTGAGACCTCCACCTCTTGGGTTCCGCACTCCGGTCGTGAACTTGATCCTGTTGTCGTTCGCTGCGTTCTTGCTGAGTAAGTCCACAGTGCATCCTTTGCTGCCGTAGTTGTATCGAAGCTCGCTAGAACAAAATAAGATGTTATTTACGATTAGTCTTTAAAAAAATAAAAAGGTCCTCACATGTAGTCGTCTTCGATTGTAACATTGCAGGCGTCCGGATACCGCTTCTTGAAGTTACAATCAGCAAGGTCGAAGTTCGTCTTGGTGGCAATTGTGGTGTAGTCGGCGAGCGTCACATTTTCTCCATTCCTTGTGTGATTGCCGAATCCGACTTCTTCGCTGTTGACCTGTCCAAGAACTGCAAGTGTGGCGATGGTGAGCAGCAGCAGCAGAGAGCACAGCGTTGACGACTTTTTGGCCAAAGGTCCGGTGTCGAGGTCCATTGGAAGGCAGCGGACGAGTATGTAGAGCTGCAGTAGACGATGTAGACGTTCGATGAGTTGCGATGAATGTTTTGTAGAGTTGGTAGCAAATGAATGAAATGTGGGAGCTTTTATAGTATATTCTCGTGAAGGAAGACCGAGATTGCCAACTAAGAGACGAGAAGGTTATAAAAGCAGTTTTATTGAACTGTTCACTATCTTCCTTGCCTCTTACCACGACACTCATCGACAGGACTAAACCACAATGTCGTCTCCAACACACAACTGCTGTCACCCGAAGCAACAACAACCGCAAACGACAGCAGGGGAACTGGCAAGCGTCATGCAGGAATTGCTTCAACGATTCAACAAACAGACGAACCTGGAAGATGTGCCAGTTCAGCCTGTGCAGAAGGAGGAGCAGAAAGAACAGCTTAGCTTCTTTGAGAGGAGGCAGGCCTTTTGGGAGGAGTGTCAAAAGCGTTTAGGATGTAAGATCAATTCACTAACCAAGTTGTTTAAAGCCTTATTATTTTTAGGGGATATTATTGAACGGATCCAGATGCGAAGCGCGACAGAACTTCTCAACGACAGGGAGATGTTTCCGGTGGAGGAGTGGTGTGATCGTCCTAGCTCGCAATATGAGTGCGCTTATGGTGGTTGTTGTCAGCATACCCAGTCCTGCCCATCTGCATTCGTGTATTCTCCTGAAGAGATGAAGTTTGCTGCTGAATTTGATTCTGTTCCAGATTTTTTTAAAGAAAAGTCCAAGCGGGAAACCATGGAGAATCTTGTGGATGAGGAGAATTGTAAGCAAATTTTGTCTTTTACTAATCCTATAACATATTTTTAAGCCTCTGAGTACTGCGATGAGGCCAATGATCAGCCTGCCTGCTCTGAGGAACATCTTGCCGAGTTCGACCCAAAGCAACAACAACCGCAAACGACAGCAGAAGATCTGACGAGTGTCATGCAAGAACTGCGTCAACGATTCGACAATCGGGCGAACCAGAACCCTGTGCCGGCTCAATCTGTACAGAAGGAGGAGCAGAAAGAACAGCTCAACTATCGCCAGAGGAAGTTTGCTTTCCTGAAGAAACGTAAGGGTTTAACTGAGGAAGTTCGCTTATTCATCTGATTTTTTAGATGGCCACGTATTCTGGGCCCAGAGCGCGCACCACCTTCTCAGCGACAGGAAGAAACCTCCATCGCGTAGATCCTGTCGTCGTGTAGGGCCGCAATATGACTGCTTTTCAGGATGTCATCACACCAAATCCTGCCCAGGTCTCTTCGAGTATCCTCCTGAGGTGATGAAGTTTATTGCCGACTGCGAAGCTAGAACTCGCCACAGACACACAACCTTCTCTATGAAAAAGCCCAAGTTGGAGACCGTGGAGGAGTGTGATGAGGAAGAGGAACAACGTAAACTGCAAATTTTTCGACTTCTACCTTCAATTAAAACATTTTTAAGTGTCATCGTATTCTGTCGAGGCCATTGGCCGTCCTGCCTGGTCTACCCGCCGACTCATTGCCAGGTCCTACGACTACCTCACTCCTACTTCACTTGATGCTGTGACTGCTAACGGTAGAAGCGACAAGGCAGAAGCCAGCAATTTGACATCGTCTTCTGATGACTACTTTGGCCAGTCATCTGAAAACTTCAGCCTTGAGCCTCTTCTAGGTTCCTTTGAGGGTAATTTCTTTAAAGCTTCTTTCCCGCTAAGTTTCCTCCATCAAATCCCTCCGATTCTCAGATATCAATTCTACAAAGACTTGCCTTCAAGCTACCAATCAGAGAAATTACTTCTTGGACGAGGAGTGGAGTTTGGACTTTGTCTCTGTTGGTTCGTCTTGTGTAAGCCTGAATACCATGGAAGAGCTTGATCCAGAAGGATGTAAAAACTAAACAAATTCTCCTCTAAACACCTACAAAATTTTTCAGGGCAATTGTTGGAATACTCTGCTAGACCCTTTGCCTCGTTAGATGACTTCTTCACTAGATCGGCGTCTTCCGGAAATGTCAACTCTCTGAGCAGTCAATCAGTTCCAACAATAACTAGATCGTCGTCTACTGGCCTTTTGGGAAAAAGTGCACTTGAAGGTGTGGATTTTGTAAAGGACTCTTCAAAAAAATTTTAAATTTTCAGATTCCTACTATTCCCCTTCCAAAGCTCTAAAGCTATGTAAAAAAGTAAGGAAGTTGGCTTTGCAAGCCAAAAGTGCGGACGCCTTCTTCAAATTGATGTAAACACTAAATTTTCTGATTTTTTCTGAATTTTTTCTCTTCTTTTTTCCAGTCCAGACGATTTGCTCAACAGCTTCTTGTCCGACTACAACATGTTGGTGCGCCAAAAAATGTTGGAAGAGCAATGTGATAACTAATGAAAACAGCCCTAAAAAGCTGATGATTGAGTGAGAGATGACAATAAGAATGGGTGTGAATTGATGAGAATAATAATATAAAAAATATTCTAAAAGTCATTTTTACATCCTTCTAAATTGTGAAAATATATATTCCATTAATGTCACCCACTTGTTAGGATTTGTAATTCCCATTTATTTTTTTTCTGTTTGGTAAAAGAAAATAAAAATCATTGAAATAAAATTTTTTGTTGGCTTTTTAAAATTAGGTTTGTCAAAATCGACTCGATCCGAAAGATCGAGTTGGCATAGGATATTAGACCCGAAAAGGCTTATATGTATGGCCTGGTCCGGTAAAAATAAGCTCAAAAAATGGCCACGAATGTTGGACCGAATTTCGAAATTAGTACACTAGTAAAAATTTTTTAAATATATTTTTACATAACAAAAAAAATATATATATACAATAACAAAATTTTTAACAAAAAGTTTGTTGTAATTCTACAAGTTCCAAAACCCTTTGATATATCATTTCAATTTCACGCTAAAAAATTAAATTTTTAAAATACTGTTAATGAACGCACCAAGTTTGTCCAACAACAACAATAGGCATGTTTATATGAAGCAAGCCATAATAGAACATCCACGGCGTCCTGGAAAACGAGATATTAAAATGAACATTTCGTTTATTTGATAAGCGGTATCAAATAAGAAAGAATGGGGAAAGCAAATGATACAAATATCGGGTAAACGACCAAATGACCAAAATAGGGTGGATGACCAAATATCAGAATTTTGGGTAGGCGGCCAAATGTTAGAATTTTGGGTAGGCGACCAAATGTCAGAATTCTGGGTAGGCGACCAAATGTCAGAATTCTGGGAGGCGACCAAATGATTGAATTTTGGGTAGGCGACCAAATGACTGAATTTTGGGTAAGCGACCAAATGACTAAATATTGGTTAGATGACCAAACAACAGAATTTCGGATAGGCGACCAAATGACCAAATTTTGGGTAAGTGACCAAGTGACATAATTTTAGGTAAGTGACCAAATGACCCTAATATTGGGTAAATGACCAAATGCCTCACCTCCTGTTCAAGTTGACAAGCAATGGATTGGAATGCGCAAAAAAGAAAAGGAGTAGAAGAAGTATTGCTATTAGGTCTTTCCTTTGAAGGCAATTCCACAATAGCCAAAGTTTCTCTATGTTGATTTTTTAATTTTAATTGTAAACTTTCAATTTCCATCCACGGATTATTTAAAAATTTTGAAACAAAAATTCTTGAAATTTTTAGAATTAAACAGGGTCCTTCTTCTCCTTCTTCTCCATTTAATCTTAATAAAATTTCTTCCTTTTTGGAATCAAATTTAATTAAAAATTGTTTCTGGTTTTGATGATTTTCCCCTTCTTGAAGGTTATTAAATAAATCTGACAAGTTGGATTGGGATGTAGTCGGGTCTATACTATTCGAATCCAGTACAATTAAAGACTGAAAAAAAAATAAAAATTTCTAAAAAAAATTGCTCTATTTATAAAAAAGAGACATTAGGGCATTCACTCTCACATCAGCTAGATTTTAAATAACTTTCTTGAATATCAACCGATTTGAATAAATTTTATGTCATTTTAAATCTTTGAAATGTGCCTTTTTTTAAAAAAAAAACTTAATAAGATTCGTTTATTCGTTATACAAATTAGGATGATTGTATCTGAACAGGTTGATATTCAAAAAGGTATGGAGCATATAATTGTTATGTAGTGGTGACACCACTATAAAAGCCACTGTAAGCGTCAGTCTAATTGGATCATACTAGCCCGGCTAGTCCCTGATCTCCTTCGTCTGTTCCAACCTCAATCCCTTCGCCTACACATTGTCATTTCTCTCTTTTTGGATAAATTGTTGTTAATCTATTGCACGTCGACTTTCGTACAACCCTCGGACATAACAAGATTATTCCCGCTGGAAAGGCGGGAAAAAAAATTAAACAAATCCTACCCACCTTGCACTTGGCCATCCAAATTTTTTGCCAAACATCATCTTGCCAATTTTTAAAATTATTATTTAAAATAATAAATTCTTCATTTTTATGATACCCAGCAAGTGGAATAAAATTTGGGAAAATATTGTTGTTGTTATTGTTGTTTAATTCTTTCCCAATGTGTTTGTTGCATATTAGAGTCTGGGCTTGTGCTGATATTCTTCTTTGTCCATTTGGTGTTAATTTGGTAAATAAAAATTGGCAATAATTGGGAAAATGTGTTCGAGGTTCTAAAAAATTTTTTAAAAATTTTTAAAGATTTTTAAGCATTTTTTTGTAAAATCGGAACATTAGAGTCCCACAAGCTGGTCCGAGTTTGAGACCGACCTTTCTTTTGGGCCATAACTTCTTTTGTTCGAAAACTTTTCGGTAATTCCAAGGCTGGCCCCCCCCCCCTTTTTTTCTGTTCCCCTGACCATTTTGGGCTTTTTTGCTTAGCATATAATTTTCAATATATACTTCGAAAGAGCTGTTCGAGCTGAGTAGAATGATACTAAGATCGGTTAGATTTGGCGAATCTGAACAGATTTATGAAGCTAAATCCTCGAAGGACGTGCTTTTTGTGATGCTGAAAGAGATTAAAACAAATGCTCATAGCTATATTTATTTAAGTCGGATTTCGATGAATCTAGTACCGTTCGACTCAGCTCGAAGAGCTGAGTCGAATGATATGTAATTTGCCATAAAAAGTTTAAAAAATCGAAAAAAAATAGAAAGGAAAAAAAGGGGGGACCAGCCTTGGAATTACCAACTTTTCTTGTCAAATTATATATCATTCGAAAGCTCAGAATGTACTGATTCTTTTTTATGTTGGGAACGATTCGATTCAAACATTTATTAAAAAGCACAGAGACTGAGACTCAACTGTCTTCTAAAATACATAGAAACCAAAACTTTTTTCGAACTCCCAAAATTTAACAACTCCAAAAATAAAAACTCACGTCTAGTAATCCCATTCGATACCAAATGTTTAAGAACCTTTAGAAAAAAAATATTTTAAAAATAAAAAGAAATTGTCTTCACCTCATGGCAAAATACAAATTGTTCAAGTGTTTGGACTAATTGAATTCTTTGTTTTCTCATCCTTTTTAATTGTTCGCTGACATCAATACGGTCACAACAAAGCTTTAAAAAAATTTTTTTGGAATTTTTTTGAATTTTTTTCAAGACTCAAACAAACCAAATGTCTTCTCAAAGAGTCCACCAAAATAAATGAACCGGATCTTCCAATACCCGCACTACAATGAACTACACAGGGAGTAGTAGAAGAAGAAACATCTTGATTTTGTGAAGAACAATGTAAATCGGCAACATAATTAATAAAGTGAAGCAAAGGAAATGGGGTTGAAGGGACTCCTTTGTCCTTTAAAATATTTAATTTCAAGTTTATTTATTTAGTGGTAAAGAAGCTTTTACAAATCAGAATTTGTAATTCAAGTTTATTTATTTTCTTTCATTTACTTCAAGTTTATTTAAGTTTTACAAATCAGAATCACAAATTGTAGAAAATTCAAAATCAGAATTTCCACTAACTCAAGTTTATTTATTTAATACAAATCAGAATTACAAATCAACTAAAACTTATTTCAGAAACACAACAAATAAAAAGTTTACAAATCAGAAATTGTAATTTTTCAAGTTTATTTTACAGATTCTGATTTAAAAACTTTTTGTTTGTAATTCTGGTATGTAAGTTTGTTTAGAAGTAAATAATAAACTTAAAATTAATTCCCTTACAAATCAGAATTTGTAATTTTCAAGTTTATTTTACAAATTCTGATTTTTGTATTTTCTTTTAATAATAATAAATTCTACCGGCCAATCCATAAAATGTAATTGATGTATTGTTCTAATATTTTCTTCTTCTCCATTTTCTATCAAATTATTTTTAATTTCTAAAACTCTGTGAGTAAAAACAGAATTTGAACGTTCAGCCACTAATTTTATACAAAAATTTTCTATCAAAATTTTTTCTTCAATTTCTTCAGGCCAATATTGATCACATTTTCTAAATCCACATTCAACCATATTAATTATAGCAATTAATAATTGACACTTTTCTTGCCATACCATTAACCAAAAGTCGCCAAAAGTGTTAGGTAAAGGGGCCTGGGTAGCTACTAGAAAAATAAAATTCTGATTATAAAATACATTTTCTGATTTCTAATTATTACAATTATATATTTTTTAAATAATTCTAGTTTCCAGGTTTATTTTAAAAATAAATTCTGGTTTGTAAAAATACAATTACTTTTTATTTTATTCTGGTTTGTATTTAAAGTTGCAAATTCTGGTTTATAAAAATAAAAATATTCTGATTTTTAATTTTTACAATTGTAATTTTAAAAATACAATTCTGATTTCCAAGTTTATTTAAAAATAAATTCTGGTTTTTAAAAATACAATTGTATTTTCTTTTATTCTGGTTTGTATTTCAGGTTGGAAATTCTGGTTTGTAAAAAAATACAAATTCTGATTTTTTAGAAAAATAAATTCTGATCTCCAAGTTTATTTAAAAAATAAACTTGTTTTTACAACATTACAATTGTAAATTCTGATTTTTTTACAATTTTAAACAAAACTTAACTATAAGCATGTTTCTCATCACAACTATCAACAAAGTTTGCATTAATATAGCGTTCTTTTTCTGTACAATAGAGTCTTATTCTGCTTTCTTTTGGAAATGCCCCAATATCAGTATATCTTTTTTTTAAATTAATTTAAATTTTATTTTTAATTAAAATTTATTTTTAATTTAATTTCTACCTATTTTTATTTTTTTCATTATCACAATTATTAATTAATAATAAATTTGTTGATGTTTTTGTTTCAGCCTCAATTTCCTTTGAAAAAAAATCCTTTGAAAATTGTAAAAAATTTACAATTTGTAATTCAAGTTTATTTTTTCGTTAATTACAATTTGTAATTCTGGTATTTGTTTCAAGTTTATTTTTTTTCAATTTACCTTCTCAACATACACAAAAATAAGAGAAAAATAGCCAACGCTATTGCAGTACCAAAAATAAAAAATATTGTTGCCTTTAAATGGTAAAAAATATTATAAAAATATTTTTCCTTTTACCATATTAGCATCCATTTTAATATTGTTATTAATTTGTTTATTTTGAATTAAAGGAATTAAAGTTGTTGTTTTTATTTCTTCTTGTATTTTTTGATTTGCTGCAGATTTTGGAAAATTTTCACAAATGGATTTGGAGGTTATTGAATTTATGGGAGGACATATTGATGAACGAAAACGACATTTCCAGCCTTTAAAAAATTTAATTCAATTAAATTATTAATTTTAAAAAATTAAATTTTAATAGATACTCAAATGTCCAAGTTAATTTTTAAAGTAAGTTTCAAATTAAGTTGAGTTCAGGTTTACAAAACTTTTTTTACAATTTGTAAAAAACATTACAATTCTTTTTACAAATTGTGAAAGAAGTTTTAATATATTTTACAAATTGTAAAAATATATAAACCTTTTTTACAAATTGTAAAAATATTTAAACCTTTTTTTACAAATTGTAAAAATATTTAAACCTTTTTTACAAATTGTAAAAATATTTAAACCTTTTTTACAAATTGTAAAAATATATAAACCTTTTTTACAAATTGTAAAAATATATAAACCTTTTTTACAATTTGTAAAAATATATAAACCTTTTTTACAAATTGTAAAAATATATAAACCTTTTTTACAAATTGTAAAAATATATAAACCTTTTTTACAATTTGTAAAAATATATAAACCTTTTTTACAAATTGTAAAAATATATAAACCTTTTTTACAAATTGTAAAAATATATAAACCTTTTTTACAATTTGTAAAAAAAATATAAAAACATATTTTACAATTTGTAAAATATATAAAACCTCTTTTTACAAATTGTAAATTTATAAAAAACTTTTTTTTTTACAAATTGTAAAACTTAATTGTAAAAAAATATTCTACCATTAGCTAACAAAACAAAATGTTCTTGACTAGAAGTTGGTGTTTCCAATAAAATTGAAGAATTAGCTTTACTTTTTAATAAAATTGAAACACTTAAAGTAAGTTGTTCTCCTAATTGGATTTGGTCTAATAATAACTAAATAAAAAATAAATTTTAATTAAAAAGAATTTTTAAATTTGTCTATGTTACAATGCGCGATCTTAAGGAATTTAAGCTTTATAAAAATGTCAAAAATGAAGCTAGAAACTTGAAATTTTGCATGGATATCCCCAATAGTCTTATCCAACAATTCTGAAAATTTCAGAATTTTAGGTTCAATATAAAAAAAGTTATGAGCAAAAATATCACAAAAATCGACACTTTCGCCTGTTTTTCTCCTATAACTTTTGAAATATGAAACCAAAAATTCTCAAATTTATGGAGAATGTAGCTAGATACTTAGGGAATATCCCCACATAATTTGAACAAAATCGAAAAACCCTGTCCTAAGTTATGATTTTTTAAAAACGCTTGGTAGCTGTCCGCAAAAGTTTGTCCGCAAAAAATTTTTTTTTTAATTTTTTACCTTTGATGGAGAATTAATTGAAATATTAAAATTTCTAACAGTTTGAGTCATTAAGGAATAAATTGAAATTTTATGAAAACCATCAAATTTTGAATTTAATAAATTTTGAGGTAAAATCCATTCTAACGATAATAATAAACTGGCACAATCAAAAAATAAACTTGTAATTTTTGGAGAATCTTGGGGAACTGTAAAATATTAATTTAAAAAATTATTTTTATAAGCAATAATGAAGACTGGACAAATTTTTAAAAAAAACAAAAAAATATTTGTCCGCAAAAAAAAATTTGTCCGCAAAAATTTTGCGGACATCCGCAAAAAAATTTTGCGGACATCCGCAAAAATTCTGTCAAATCTTCATTTTCTAAAAAAATTATATAAACTAACCAGCAATGTCAGTATCAACAATTATAGGTTCACTTTTAGGACCCTCGCCTTTATCAGTAACTGAAGAAATTTGAATTTTATAGCGGCTATTTGATAAAAGGTTTGTCTGTTTAATTTTAAAAAATTAATTATTCTTCCCTAATGTAATTTAGAAATCGAACAAATTTATTTAGAAAACTTGGACAGCTTTTAGCAGTCTGGAGACGCTTTCAGCTCTTTATGTTCAAAAAGTCCGCAAGTTTTGTCCGCAAGTTTTGTCCGCAAGTTTTGTCCGCAAGTTTAGTCCGCAAGTTTTGTCCGCAAGTCATACAATCTTCATTTTTTTTATTCGAAAAAAAATTTTGCAGACTTGCGGACAAAACTTGCGGACTTTTTGAAATATAAAAAAAGGACAGCCTCTACTTTCCTCCAAAAAAATTTATTCGTTTTCTCATTTCAAAAATTAAAAAAAAAATTTCTCCTTACAAGATTGAAGGCAAACACTGTATTACTCAAAGATTGTTTTAATTGATTTTGATTAAATAATTCATTTTCTTTTTCCTCTTCATTTTTAGCTTCTAACCGGATTTGTCTTAAAGGTCGTTGAGAAAACATTTCCTTCAAAAAAAATTTTTTTTAATTCCTAAAAATTTTAAAAAAAACCTTAAAATGTATTAAATATGCACGAATTATTCCATTAGTTTTTTCAGGTTGCCGCCAATTTAGAGACAGAGAAGTGCCTCCAGGCAAAGGTAGAACTTGTACTGATAAAGGTGGACCACTTGGAATATTCTAAAAAGTATTTTTAGAATTTTTGATCATTTTTAAATTTTGGCATTTTGTCGAATGGACATTTTGGGATTTGGACGTTTTGAAAAAAAAATTTAAAAAATTAAAAATTTTCCTTGAATTTTTTAAAAAATTGCTGATACAAATATCGCTGGTTAGTTTATATAATTTTTTAAGTAAATGAGGATTTGACAGAATTTTTGCGGATGTCCGCAAATTTTTTGCGGACAAACATTTTTTATATTTTTTTTCCAAAAATTTGTCAAATCTTCATTATTGCTTATAAAAATAATTATTTTAAATTAATATTTATAGTTCCTCAAGATTTAAAAATTAAAAATAAATTACGAAAAAACCTGTTCAGTTTTAAAAGATGTTTTGGTAGCTTTAGAATATCCAAATAAATTGTGGGCCTCCAAAGTAAGAGAATAATCAGTAAAGGGTTCCAAAGAACATACAAGTTGTTTTTGGGTATTTGAGCCTTTTGCATAAATTTCTTTTAAATTAGTCCCATCCAATTTGTTTACCTGAAAATTTTGAAAAAAATTTTTTTAATTTTTCGAAAAATACGCATTTTAAAAATGGGACATTTTGCCGATTTGACATTTTTTCGATTTTACATTTTGTCATATGGACATTTTGTCGATCGGACATTTTGAAAAATTTTTCAGAAAATTTTCTTACAATAATTCTATAGCCAAGTATCGAATCACTCGTAGACTCCTCACCCCCATCCTCCTCAATAATCGGTTGTTGCCATTCCAATTCCACACAATCTGCCGAAGTTGAATTTATTAAAGAGCGAATTTCTGGTGATTTGGATGGAGCTACAAAGAATTTTTAAAATCAAAATAAAATTTTAAAAAATTCCTACGCAGTCCAAAGGTTCTAAAAACAGCTTCGGGGCCAAATTGACTTTCTCCGACAGTGTTTTCTGCACGTACCTATAAATAAAGTTAAAAAGGGCTTGGGATTCTTTTCTCTAATATACTCTCAAAAGTCCGCAAGTTTTGTCCGCAAATTAAAAAAATTTCTTTTTAATTTTACTAAGTTGCAGACAAAATTTGCGGACTTTTTCTAGAAAGTCCGCAAATTTTCTAAAAGTCCGCAAGTTCTGTCCGCAAAAATTTTTTAAATTACTTGCGGATTTTCTAGGATTGTATTAGAGGAAAAGAGTATTAGAGGAAAAAAGAGAGAGTTCAAAAAAAAATCAGAAAATTAATTAATTTAAACCTACAGAAAAAGAATATAAAGTATTTGGTTCCAATTCGGCAATTTCCAAATTTGTTAAATTATTTTTTGTTGACAAAACACGGACAAAATTATTATTGTTTTTCCTTCTTTTAATATTTTCTTCAAATTTTTGTGAAATATAAATTGCAAATTTAATTATTGGTTGTTGGGAGGGTAAAGGTGAAAAGCCTTTACTCCAATCGAGCAAAACAGAATTTTTGTTGTTTCCATATTGAATAGAAGGTTTTGGGGGAATTGGGGGCTTTTCTGAAATAATTACAAGTTTTAAAGAAAAATACAAAATACAAGAAAATACAAAAAAATACAAACCAGAATTTGTACAAGGAATAAAACACAAATCAGAATTAAAAATCAGAATTACAAAATACAAAAAACAGAATTTGTAAAAAATACAAAACACAATTAAAAATCAGAATTTGTAAAAAAAAAAGAAATTACAAATCAGAAAATTAAAAAAAAATACAAAAATTACATATCAGAATTTTGCAAAAATACAATTAATTGTATAGAAAACACAAACCAGAATATCTACACTGAAAAATCAAAATTAAATTCAATCAGAATTACATTGAAAAAACACAAAAATCAGAATTAAAAAACAGAATAAAAAATCAGAATTTTTTACAAACAATTACTGTACTATCTTCACAAAACAACCCATTTCATCACCAATTTTCTCTAATTTATTTTCATTTAAAATTCCACAAATTCATTTCCTCATTCTTTTTTTTATTTTAATTTTTTTAAATTGCATCTGGACACGCTCTCTCTCGACATATTTTTTTTCCAAAACCAAAACCACCGGTCATTTATTCACATTCATCATCATTTTTACTCACTTAAATGTCACGCGATTTATTTTCTCAATCAAAATTAATGTCATTTTGTTGCCTTACAAAACCGGACATTAGAGTATCAGAAAATAAAAAATAAGGGAGAGTCCAGGAGGATTTTGAGTCTCAGACTCTAGTGTCCTTATATTAAATAAATTAATTTTAATATCCTTTTCCATCATTCTTGGTCAAATATATCCATTCCATAAATTAAAATTGGTCAAGCAAGAATAATTAATTTTGCGCGGAATTATGCCCAAGGACTTTTAAGAAATGTAAAAACAATAATAATAAATAAAAATTATTAATGTGTGTGGAAAAAGAAATTATTTAAAAATTCTGATTTTTGTATTTTAAAAATACAAAAATCAGAATTCCATAAAAGAAATACAAATTACAAATAAAAGAAAAATACAAATAGAAAATACAAAAACCAGAATTTTGTTAAGTTTGAAGAAATACAAAACCAGAATTTCATAAAAAATACAAAATCAGAATTAAAAGAAAATACAAAAAATACAAACTTAAGATTGTAAAAATACAAAAACAGAATTTTGTTAAATACAAAAATACAAACCCAGAATTGAAAGAAAATACAAGAAATCAGAATTTCATTAAAAATACAAAATCAGAATATCGTTTAAAGAAACACAAAACTTAAGATTGTAAAATACAGAAATCAGAATTTCGTTAAATTTGAAGAAATACAGAACCAGAATTTAAAAATACAAAATCAGAATTGAAAGAAAATACAAATATTCAGAATATCGTTCAAAGAACACAAAACTTAAGTTTGTAAAAATACAAATAATCAGAAATTGCCTTAAACACAAACACCAAAAGAAAACACATTTAATTACCCACCTAACACCAACAATTTTGCACCAGCCTTTTGAAGCGGCAATTCCTCAGCAAATAAAGGATCAGTTTCCAAAATACAAATCCATTCCCCATTGTCTTTTGGCAGAACAGGAAAAATGCGTAATTCAAAAAATGGACGTTTGAGTAACAATCTTTCGTTATTTGTCCATAATTGTTGTTCTATATCCGCACCGAGTTCTTGCTGTTTTTTAAATTAAAAAATTTAATTTGAATTTTTTTAAAGATTTTTTTAAATTTTCTTTTTATTTATTTTTATTTTTCAATTTTTATTTAATTTTCCCTCATAAAACATTGTCAACCTTTTCTCTTCGTTCTTTAACGCTTGCGCGCGAGCGACTATAAAATAAACAAAATAAGCATAAAAAATTCTGAATTTTTTAAAATAACATTCTCAAAGTTTTATTCATCCTCTGTAAAAATTTCAGAATTTTTAATTAATTATTCCACAAGTTGTGATTAAAAGAGTGCAAAAAATCAACAAAAAATCGACATTTTTAACTACAACTTGTGAAATTCTGAACTAAAAATTCTGAAATTTTCAGAATAGTTAAATGACACTATTATCAATAATTATACAAAATTTCATAGCTTTATCTATTTTTTAGGCAATTCTATAGACGCTCGATTATCATCAACTCATCCAGAAAACCTCATTTATAGTAAAAAATTTAAAAAAATTCTTTGGTCAATTTTATTTCTTCCTAATTTCCTTCCTCTATTTTCTGCCTCCTTATTTTCCCAAGAGGGAAATAATATATCCTATTTAAACTTTAGTATAAAATTTTAAATTTAAAAGAAAATATGCAAACATGTTAAAGGAAAAAAAGATATACTCAAATGTACCTAAACTTGTCAAGTTTGCGAAAAATAGACTTGAATTACAAAAATAAACTTGAGTTTGTAAAATTAAAAAAATACAACTTTAAAAATACAAACAAGTTTTGAAACACAAAAACATTGAAAAACACATATAAAATTAAAACAAAACACAAAACTTACAAAAACACAAAACTTACTAGAAAAATCAGAATATTAAAAAAACACAAAATACAAATAATAATTCAAAACATAAAACACAACCAAAATATATAAATATTTCACAAAAACACAACACATACAAAAACACAAAACTTACTAGAAAAATCAGAATATGTATTTTTCCTCAACAAAAATACATAGTAATTTACAATTAAAATCAAAACACAAAAATCAGAATAATAAACAAATAATAAATTAATTAATTTCCCCTTCCAAATAAATTTCTCAAACCTCTCTTATGTATAATTAGTAATTTTATTTTTTGTTTTCCCCTAAAATAAATTGAATACTAAAACTAAAAACATTATTAATTAGACATATACCTTGTTTATATTTATTTTCTCTTTTTAATTTTAAAAGCTTAAAACTCAGTCAGTCGGCAAAAATTTTTATTTTCTTTTCTCTCAACTTTCTTTACCCCCCCCCCCCCTTTTCCCCTCCCTTTTAACTTTCCTTTCCCCCTTAAAAGTCCAAAAATAAAAAGAAAATACAAGAAAAAGGACGGAAATTAGAACAAATATAGTAAAGAGAGGAAAATAAATTTATATATTACCCGGAAACATACCAATTTTCTTGGCACAGTTTGAAATAAAAAATAAAAGAAAATCGGCACAAAATAAACAAAGAATTAAAGTAAAAATAAGAAAAAATACACAAAAAGGTTTTAAAATAAAAATGCGGGAAGGGGATGTTTTATTGACAGAGTTGAGTCTAGTGAAAAATAAATAAAATCAGAATTTAAGAAAAAAATACAAATCAGAATTTTGAAGGAAAATACAAAAGAAAAATACAAAAACCAGAATTTTACAAGGTAAACTCAATTTGAGAAAACACAAAATCAGAATTTAAGAAAATACAAATCAGAATTAAATAGAAAAAAGAAAATACAAAAACCAGAATTTTACAAGGTAAACTCAATTTGAGAAAACACAAAATCAGAATTTAAAAAAATACAAATCAGAATTAAATAGAAAAAAGAAAATACAAAAATCAGAATTTTCTAAGGCAGGTTGGAGAAAATACAGAGAAAATACATAAATTGGAGAAAATACAAAAACCAGAAAATAAACTAAAGTTTGTAGGAGTAAAACTAAACTAACTAAAATAAAAATACATATTACAAAAATCAGAATTTTGAGAAAATACAAAAATACACCCCCTAATAATATTATTTTCAGAATATTATATTTAAACTATCCCCCCACATTTCACTTATTTTTATTTATTTCGGTCAATTTCCTTCCAAAAATTTATTTTTCCCCTTTTCAACAATTCATCTACACACTTAATATTTCTTAAAAAATTTTGTGTTGGTCTAAGAGAAAAACTCCCTCTCTCTTTCTTCTTGAAACGGCATAATTGACAGCCTTAGGCCAAAGCATTTTGCCTCAAATTTCCCACAGGGGAGTAAATAAATAAAAATATGTAAGAGGGGAAAGTAGTTATCATCATCAACATAATTTTAAGAAAAAAATTGGTTTTGAATAAAAAATAAAAAAAAATTTGATGGGTGGAGAAAGGTGAAAAATATGTATCATGAAGAAAATATGCATAAAATAAATATATACATACTCAAATATTCAAGTTTGCGAAAATAAACTTGAATTTGTAAAAAAATAAACTTTATTTCTTCTTTTTACAATTTCAAGGTTATTTTCGCAAACTTAAGTTTATTTTTATTTTACAATTTTTAAGCTTATAATTCCAACTTGAAAAACACAAAAAAGTTTGTAAAACACAAAAACATAGCAAAACATATAAAATTCAGAAAATACAAATAAACTTAACAAAAACACAAAACATTTTATAAAAATCAGAATATTTCAAAACAAATCAAAATACAAATAATAATTCAAAACATTAAAACACACAAACACAAAAAATTCTGATTTTTAATTTCAAGTTTATTTTTCTAACAAACAAACTTATTTTCAAGTTTATTTTTTTTTCTCAAAATGTCCAAAACAAAAATGCCCAAATTATTCACCTGTTGAAAAGAAGCAACTAGCACCCCTTCAAAAAACCAATTTAATTTTCTAACTAATTGGGGATGTTCAAAATCAGGGGCCATATGAGTTCGTACAAGTATAGAGGCTGGGGGGCATTCCAAAATTAATTCTGTCCCGTTTATTATTTTTAAATTTTCCAAAAATAATAAATTATTTTGTTGTTTTGAATGTTTATTAATTCCAATATTTGCTGCACCATCACGGAAGGCTACAAATGTTATTAGTGGAAGCATTAATAAAGCCATAAATAATATCCTTCTATTAAAAAAAATTTTTTTACATTAAAAAAAATTCCAGAAAAATTTTTAAAAATTTCAAAAAAAATTTTAAAAAATTTCAAAAAAAAATTTTTAATCTCCCTCCATTTTTCTAATATAAGAAAAATTTTTTAAAATAAAATAAAATAATTTCTGATAGAAAATAGGAGAAAAAACATAATAATAAACATACCTGTGCCAAAAATGAGGTAATTAAAATAACGGAAATTTTAAGGAAAATCTTATTATTTTTTATATATTCAAAACAATGAGGAAAAAAGTAATTTTAAATTAATTGGGCAAAACAGGAAGGAAAATAAAAAACAAAAGAAAATAAAAGAAAAATAATTTTGTGTGAACGTAGAAAAAAATTTTTAAAAAAATCAGAAAATCAGAATAATTTTTTTGGTCAAGTGGACTAAGGCGCTGCCAATAATACCTCAAGTTAGTTTAGGGGGAAGGTTCGAGTCCAACTAAGGGTAATTTATTTGTTTTGAAGAAGTGAACAATTTAGAATATTTTAAAAATATTTTTTGATGTATTTTAGGGGCTAATGAATTTTTTGAAATTAAATTTTGAAGAGAAAAAGAAGGAAAAAGAGGTGAAGAATAAAAATAGGGTGGTCATTAAAAAAAAATTTTTAATTTAAAAAAATAAAATTAAAAAATCTGCAAGAAAAATAAAGAGATCATGTAGAGATTTTTGAATTATTTTTGGTTTAGTAGAAAACACAAAAAAATGTTTTTTCCCTTAAAAATAAGCTAAATGGTTGAATTTTATTTAAAAAATTTTTTTTAAGTGTATTGCTAATAAATCCAAAAAAAAATTTTTTTAGATAAAGGAACAATATTGAAAATGAGAAAAATGACCACACAAAAATCAAAAATAAAATTTAAAAAAAATTCTCAAATTTTATTTTGTTGAACACCTGTTCACCCCTCCTTTCACTTCTCCCTCCCAAAAAGAAAAAAAAATATTTCTCTCTAACCTATTAAACAAACAAATAAAATGCAAAAACAAACAAAAGAAAAATTAAATAAAAAGAATTAATAATATTTAGGTAGTTGTACAAATATTAAAAATGAATAAGAATTTTTATTTTTAAATGACCATGTTTGGGTAGTGGTCAACATTATTTTTGTTGTTGTTGTTCTCTACATTTTTTCTTTTGTATTTTTAAATTTTTATTGTCTTCCAGAAAGAAGAGATAGAAATATGAGAGAAAAGATTCGAAAAAATAAAGGAAATTTTGGGAAAAAAAAAATTTTTTTTTGAAAAAATCCTATTTATTACCCAAAGAAATATTATTCTCAGCTTCTTTTTTCTTCAAAATTAAATTTGAAAAAATTCATTTACCCCTAAAATCCATCAAAAAATATTCTTTTAATATTTTAAATTGTTCACTTCTTCAAAACAAATTAATTACCCATAGTTGGATTCGAACCTTTAACCCTATAAACTAACTTGAGTTATTATAGGCAGCGCTTTAAACCACTTGACCAAAAACTCCCTTCTAAGAAAATGAAAGGAAAGAAGACAAAAAATATTATGTCCTATAATGCTAAAAATAAATGCATGAAAAAAAATATTTTTTTTTTCTTTAAATGGAAAAAAGAAAATAATTTTTGTTTTTGGTAAAAAAAAAGAAAAAGGAGGAAAAAAAATTTGCATTTTTCTTTTTTTATAAATAATGTAAGGGTATTTTTATAAAAATAGGTAGTCTTTTTCAAGACTTTTTCTTTATCCTTAGAAGGAGGTTATTGAGAAAAAAAAATTTTTTTAGGATAAATAAAAGGTGAACTGAAAAATAAAAAAATTTATTCTCTGGTTACTCGAGAAACTCAAGAAAAAAAAATTTTGTTGTTTTTGTCTGAAATGAGAAAAGGGAATGTGCTTTAGAAAGGAGGGGGAAAGGAAAGGGGAAGGAAAAGGGCGGAACCAAAGTCCAAAAATATTTTTATTTAAAAAAAGCCGAGTCCTCCCCCCAAGAAATTATGTGAGAAAAAAAATTATAAAACGGGAGAGAAAATGTTGCAAAAATTATTTTTTATTACCTAATATTTATTTAAAAAAATTTTTTTTTTCTTTCTTTCAGCTTTTGAAAAATCAAAAATATGGTCCAAATTATTTTTTTTTTATTTCCAAATTATTTTAATAAATTCTAAAATAAAAATAAATTGCTCACACATTTTTTTTATTTTTTTTTCAAATTTTATTTTTGTAAGATTATAAAAAAAAATAAAGAAAACCGAAAACTTGTTTTAAAAATTTAAGGATCGGGGACAATCGGGAAGCCTTAATAGATGAGTAAAGGTGTTCAAAATTGGAAATTTTCTTTCAAACCTTAAGACTACCCTTCCTCTTCCGAGAAAATTTCAGAGAAAAATTAAAAATGTCCGCAAAAATTTTGCGGACAACCTCAAATAAAAGTTAAGTGATCTTCCCCCCGCCAAGAAAACAGAAAGAATGACCTAAATGACAGAATGACCTACCCCAAAAAATTAAAAAAATATAATTGAATGAATTAAAATCAATTTTTAGAATAACATAATCCCCCTCCAGATCCTTAAATTTTACATAATTTCTTACACAACAAAAAAAATATTTTTAATTTAAAAAAAAACCATAAATATTATGAGGAATACCAACTAAAACACATCAAAAATTAAAATAATATCATTCCTTAACTAACTAAATATTTAATTTTCCCCCCAAAAAAATTAAATTTATAAAAAATAAAACTTGATTGTCAATTTCCATATTTTTTTCCTCATTCAATTTTTCTTCACTTCCCTTCTTCCCCACCCTCATTTTTATTTTCCAAATTTTGCTCGTCAGCAACATCAACTCCTTGTTTAGTCACTTGTTGTTTGGTCATTTCACCACCTTCTCCTTCAGCCACAACCATTTCAACACTTATTGGTTCAGTAATTAAATCACTATCATCTTTTTGTGCCTTTAAAAATAATTTTATTATTAAAAAAAATTTTTTTTATTTTTTGCGGACAAGTATTTGCGGACAAATCAAAAAAAAATTTGAAGAAAAAATAAATCTTTTTCCCAAAAAAATTTTCCCAAATTTATAAAATACGATTGAAACTTATCACATTAAGTATAATTTAAAAAAAAATTTTTTTTAATTAAAAAAAATTTTTTGCGGACAAAACTTGCGGACAAATGAAAAAATTTTTCTAGCCAAAAATCTTTCTCACAAAAAATTTTTTATCAAATTTAATAAAATACTACTAAAACCCAACAAATTACCTAAGTATATTTTTAAAAAAATTCTAAAAAAAAACTTTTGCGGACAAAAATTTTTTTTTGCGGACAAAACTTGCGGACAACTTCAATTAAACCCCAAAATAAATTCCCTCTAAAAAATCCAAAAAAATATTTTTTAAATTCAAAAACAAACCTGATTATTCTCTTCCTTAAAAGAATTATTATTAGTTGTACTATCATCTTTACATTCATCCAAAAGAACAACAACATCAGAAGCTGACGTTTCCTTGCTTTCTTTATTGTCCTTAGCTTCCTTCCCACCCTCCTTGCCAGCAGCTTCCTTTCCTCCCCCATTTTCACCATTATTATTCTTAACATTTTCCCCTTCCTTTGAAGACGTTTTAGGAGGCGGTGGTGGAGGGAATACACTTTCAACAATTGAAATAATTCGTTGTCCATAACGTTTACAATCAGTTAAAGACCTCTTACAAACTTCATTATCATCCTTTTCCTTCTTCAAACTCTTCTCTGCATCATGCAATTTTTTTCTATAACGATCAACATCATCTTCAAGACGACGCTTTTTCTTTTCTAATATATCACGTTGTTCTTTTGTTGTTTCTTAAAAAAATTTGAGAAAATTAAACTTTTTTTTGCGGAGATAAATTTGCGGACAAATTAATTTTTTTTTTAATTTAAAGATAAGAGGGAAGGGATTCCATGTTTTCTTATAAATCACCATATGAAGTGTCCACAAGTACAGGAAAAAATGTGTTGTGATTTTATTAAAAATAAAGTTAAACAACTCTATAAAACGTCCGCAACTTAACTTGCGGACTTTTCCCGTTTTGTTTACTAAACTAGACGGAAGGAAAGACCTAGAGACTTCCAAGACCGACAATTTTCCAAGACTCAAGACCAAGAGTTTTGGAAGTCTATAGAAAGACCTCTCTTCCATATTTAAAAAAAAACAAGTCTGCGGACACATAAATAAATGTCCGCAACTTTTCTTGCGGACATTTCCACTTTTTTTTTAATTTTTAGAATAGAAAAACCTTCCTCACTTCCTCCCCTTATTTTTCAAAAAATAATCAATAAACACCTACTCAATTGTAAATCCAATTCATTATTTTTATCCAAAACAGCCTGACGTTCTTCTTCCATAGCTTGTTGTTGTTGAATACATTGTTTAATATTAACAATTTTGCCTTCATAAAAGAATATGTCAGAAGAAGCCTCATTAGGTGTTGGTTGTAAATTATTGTTTGAAGAAACTGACAGCAGTTCCAAATTAGCATGTCCTAAAAATAAAATATAAAAATTACAAAAAAATTTTTGCGGACGTAAATTTGCGGACATAAATTTGCGGACAAATTTAAAAAAAAAGTTTCTTTCATAAAGACAAGAGAAAAATGAGTCCACAGAAATTTTAGAAAAATAAAAAAATTCAATTTTAAACAATTTAAATAAAACTTTATGCTATATAGACAAGCGTATTTAATTATTATCTACTACCATAAACGATGGAGTCTTTTTACTAACCTACAACCAAAAAATCGTGGAAATCTCATATACACTTGAGAAATAAAAAAAATAAATTAACAAGTCTAACCTTAAAAAAAAATTTTTTTTCCTAACAATAAATCCAAAAATTATTTCTCAATTTTACACTAATCTTCAAAAAAATCTCTCACATAAAATTTCAATTCCCCCAAATCTTCCCAAAAAAATTAAAAAAAACAAAACTAACCGTTAGCCAACTCCTTGTAACTCTCAAACAAACTTCCTCCACCTTGATATATAGGTTCAGGTATATATTTAACATTCCCTTCTTTATCAACCCATTTATCAGTCAAATCACGATAATTAACACGTTCCTTTGAAACCAATTTTTTAACCAAATTTTTAACTTCACCACGAGACAAGTCTAATCCTGTAGAGTTTATAATTTCTTCCAAATCGCGATCAGTCAAATAACTAAAAAAAGAACATTTTTTATTATTAAATAGTAAAATCTTTAAAAGAAATTATGTAGTTTTCCCAGGGATATTTCCAAAAAAATTATTGTTCATGGAAAACAATCATTTATTGCTATTACCCTTCCCTGTTAAGATACGGTTTTTCACCACCTTTTTACGACGGAGGTAATCAAGAAAAATGTCAATGATACATAGTAGTAAATGGAAAGCTTATTAGAAAATGGTTTACACACTCAACGTTGACATTGGTTCTAAGTAAAAAGCAGAGGTACTCATTGTCATAAAACAAAGTTAGTAACACTGTTTAAGACCGACCATTTTTCCCATTTTTGGAACAAAAAAGGGGGTCGAAGTTCAATTTTACCAAGTCTTTTTAAAATAAATTCCAAAAACAAACCCGCAAATATTTCCATCAAAATGTACAAAAGCTGAAAACAGGTCCAAATTGTGAACTATAGCCTTAAAATTTGTTCGCAAATCTGTTGAAGAACTTAGAGGTGATTTTGGTGGTTGTTTATCAGAATTTTGACCGCCACTTCCTTCCTTATTTCCTTCCTTTTCTTTTTCTTCTTCTTTTTCCTTTCCTCCCCCACCTCCACTTCCTCCACTACTTTCATTTATTACAACAACATCTTCATCTTTACAAGCTTCAGAAAGTGTTTCATTTCGACGCTTCTTTTCAGCTTCTCGATCTAAACAAGTTGCCACAGAGTGATAAACAACAAAAGCGTTGGAACGATCAATTGCTTCACGTAAAGCTTCAACAAATATAAAGACCTGAAAAGAAACACTTCATTATAAAAAATATCCCCAAAAAAGGTGGGTACAGCCCGAAATGTCGCGCGGCCATAATGAAGCCAAGCCATAACTTGCTAAAATATTTCTGGCCCTTATCAATTTTGGTACCAATCTCTTTAGCTCGATGAGAGGAATCGTTTAATACTAAATTTGAAAAGATTCGGAAATCTTAAAGCAAGTTATGGCTCGGCGACATTATGGCCGCGCGACATTTCGGGCGTGTCCCCAAAAAGGTTGGATCTCAAGAAACTATAAATGGGGAATACGCCAAAAAAAGACAACCTAAAGTGCGTGTCAGACCATTAGTTTTGTCATTTGAGATACGTCTTTGAGACACAACTCGATTTACATAAGATGCCGTTTATTCGAAAATTTGGTTGGTCAATGGGTAGTAAAGAGCTCCCCAATCAGAACTCCCCCAAATTCAAAATTATGTTTTTTTATTTCACGATTTAAAACGCGTTTTATTAAAAAATCAGGTTCTCCAGAAGTTCCCCAAACGAAACATCCCACCAATTTAGGATGTGCCCCTCATAAGATAAAAATGATTTCTAAGCCCAAAGAAGGGTATTTCATAGGGAAGTTATAAATTCTAATTTTTTCTTAATAAAAAACATAGAAATTTAAAAAAAAACCTCAAAAGACGATTCTTTAATATCATCCTGACGATAATCCAATAAAGAATGTATAGACATCAATTTACATTCAAATTTTCCACCTTTTGCCGTTTTGCTAGGATAAACAAAAATTCCAGGTTCTTTAGGAATTTGGCTATAATGACGTTCTAAAGTAGCTTTGCGTTCTTTCTTTTCTTTTTCCTTAAAATAAAATTAAACTCTAAAAAATTAAAAAAAAATTTATACAAATTTTTCTTTAGCTTTTTCCAATTCTTGACGTTCCTTTTCCAATTTTTCACGTTTTGCTTGTTCTTCAGGTGATTCCTTCTTCTCTTCCGGCTTAAAAAAAGAAGAGAAATGATTAAATTTAAAGTAAAGTTTTAACACGGAATTCGAAATAGGTGGTCGGGGATCCTCTATCAAATGGTACCAAAAAATATATAAATTCGCGGTCACTCCCCTTGTAAGATTAGATTTTTTCCAGATATCCAAATTTCTCCAGAACCGACAAATCTTATTCAAGAATTCACAATTATCATAAATTGAGAATAATGAATATTGCTTTATCAGGATCCCATTTTGATTAACTTCATCAATTTATTTTCTTGAGGAATTATTAATTTCAAAAACATAAAATAAATATCTCACAAAAATTTCAAGATTATATAAACTTAATTTCAAAAAATAAATTCTCAAACCGCTTCATCAGTTTCCATCAATTCAATAATTTCTTCCTTTATTTTAACCATTATACTAGGTTCACTAGTTGTTTTCTGAGCAGGAGGTTGTTGTTCATTTGGTTTCGCTCCTTCTTCTTCTTCTTCTTGTTCCTTTGAAACCAAATTTTGTTGTTGCTGTTCAGTATCAGGCATTGCTTCATCTGCAGGCTTTTCTTGTGGTTGTTGTTGCCCTACTTGATTCTCATTTTTCTCATCATTTTCCTTTTCTTTTCCAATAGCTTCAGACAAACGTTGAGACAACACATTTTTTAATCCTTTAGAATCAAGTCCACGCAATTCAAGTTCTTCACGAAGCTCAGCAACCTAAATAAAATTATTAAAATAACCAAGGGAAAAATGGGAGAATCAGCTCTGGCTAGCAGTCAAAAATTCCTACTAGGCCATGGATTACTAGGCTTGCAAGAAGGTCTATTAAAAGAGGCGGAAAAACTGTCAAGATATACGAGTTAAAATGGGACAACTGTAAGCGGCGAGAGAAAGCTCATAGCATAAAACTAACAGAAATCGCTAGCATTTAAACTCCTACGAGATGCTTTTCTAGTCATTGCCCTCCTTGATTCTCATGCTAGGCTTGCTAGGAGGTTTAGGGAAAACTTCACGTGGTCAAAGAAAGCTTCAAGCACCAACTATCATAAGGATTACTCCTTTACCTCTCTCATTCTAAATAAACAAAAAAAAGAAAGAAAAACCTTCATTGTACGAACAACAGGTTCCAACAAAGACCAATGTGTTTTAGTTTCCTTTTTGGGAGATTGAAGAGTTTCTTGAGAAGTATCAGCAGATTTTTGAGGAGATGATGAGTCCATAGCCTAAAAATTTTTTTTAAATTTATAAATTATTAAAAGTATAATTTTAAGGTTTTTTCAAGATACTCTTAATCAATTAGAAAAATTAAAAACCCTAAAAAATAAATTTAAAAAATTTTTTCTTTTATTTATAACACCAACACCACCATCATATTTTTTGCCAAAATAACAAAGAACCTCCTCAGTAGCAATACAAAGATCAGGAACAGCATTATTCTCTTTTGATGGTGGTTCAACACCAACTTCAGGAGCAGAAGTAGCAACCAACGTTGATGAAGTAGCAGCAGAAGTCGCAGCAGTAGCAGTCGTCGTTGTGGTAGCCTTTTCTATCCCCCCACCATCAACACCCTTTTCAACAACAGACTTTTCCCCATCAACAACATTTTCCCCTTCCGTTTCTTTCTTCTCATTGAATTGTTCAGCATCAATTGCCGCCAATTTAACGGCAAGTTGATCACGTAACAATTGTTCACAAATTTTGTAGCTTTCCTCATCAACTTTAAAACTTTCTATTGCGCTTGTATCCGGAAGCATTAGAACAACAGAATCAATACGTTGACGTTCAGCACGCAAGTAACGCAAGTGCGCAATTTTGTACCTGGATTATTTATTCAGAGTGTGTGTTTTTTTTTTGAATAAGAGAGGAAATATTAAGAAAAAAAATTAAAAAAAACTCATCAGCCATTGAAGATCAAACAAAGAGAAAGATTAGAAAGTAGGTAAGATAAAATTTTTAAAAATTTTAAATTTGAAAAAATTTTCTCAAAAATTTCTTAAAATTTTTTTTTGAAAATTTTTCATAAAAAAATTAAAATTTCTTACCATTTAGAACAGTCAGACAGATTTAACCCAGTCATTGCTCTAGTAGTTCTAATAGCAGTTTTAACCAATGTTACAGGATCCAAAGGATTGAGACCATCCAAAGATGGAGACCATGGACCTCCAATACACATATATTCGCCTTTGCCGCGATGACCTTTTTTAAAATTAAAAATGAGAGAAAAAACTTTGGACATAAAGACATACCAACAAGCAATTGAATTGTTTTTGTTAATGGTTGAGTTTCAGTAGCTTCATCAATACTTCCATCAGACATAAGTCCACTCAATTTACGACGAATTGCCATCAAACCAGGATGTGAAATAAGCATTACCTTAACAATATGAAGTAGTCATTTACAAAATATTTAACAAAATAGCAAATTAATTTCCAAAAACTTTAATGAAGTTAAAGGAGGGTACTGCTTTTTTAAAAGGTTTCGACTCTGTTCTAGTTCAATAAACCATTAGTTTTTTTTTATTATATTTTTGGACACATAATTTTCTAGACATATTGGGACTAACTAGCACAGAGCACATTTTTGTACCATCCTAAGTCTGTCAATGAGCTCGATCCCTTATTATGTAATAAGATTGTTGGTTCTGAACATAACCGAAAAAACTATAATTTTTCGGTTCTGTTTCGGATATCCGAAGCCTTTCCAGGAACCGACAACCCTACTTATTAATATTTTAAAATATCTTCGTTTCATCTACTATCATGTTTACCGACTTGTGTTCAACCCATCTCTATTAAGCAAAAAGATAAAGCTTTTTTAGCAGACCCAATACGCTTGCAAGTCTAAGAAAAAGTAAAAAAAAAACAACCTTAACAATATAACGATAATCAGCATCAACAGGATTTTCAATCGGAGCCTCTTCCCCCAAAGCCAAAGGAGCATCAATATCTTTATGCAAAACATGGAAGTTGATTGGATGTGGAGAAAATTTGATTGGAGTTTCAAGCGGAATAGAAGAAATCCAATCAAAACTGCATCGAATAAAATCGGACGGAATATATAAACTAGCATAGCGTCGTCGCAAATCAGCGTTCTTCATATCACCCCTAAAAATTTTATAAAAATATTTCCTTTAAAAAAAGCAAATAACAAACAAAGGCAAAGTCTGCTTCGGCATATTACAATGATAACGAGGAATGATACGTTGACGACGTCTTGGAGGCGAAGAATCAGCATCGAGTTTAGTAGATTGTCCACGAACTGAAGAAGAATCACCACGATCATGTTCTCGCTCCTTCCTTCCAAAAGCTTCTCTTCTAGGCGATGGTTCACGCTTACGAGGAGTTGTACGACGTGGTGGAGTACGTTGACGCGAAGATGGACGCTTTGCTACTACAAAATAAAATGAGAAAATTCATAAACTTTTCAGAAACCTGGAGAAGAACGACGAGGAATTGTAGAAGGTACTTGTCTTCGCGGCTCATCTCTAATGTTACTACGACGATCGCTACTTCCTCCCCCTCCTCCACCACTACTACCAGCCCAACGATTTGACGAATTCATTCCATTTTGTTGTTGTGGTGGTGGTAATTGACGGCTAGCTTGTTGTTGTTGAAGACCTCCACCGCCTTGAGAAGTGTCATTAATAAGACGAACTTGATAAGCATTCCATTTAAACGGCATTGAAGGATTGTAGTTTGCTTCTACCATAACACGGTCACCAAGACGAGGCATTGTGCCACGAATAACACTGAAAAAATTAAGAAGGGTTACATAACTAGTTAAGTGAGACTAGGTAATAATCAAGGGGTTTCTATTGTTAGAGTACGGACGGGACTAGATCCCGAAGGCAATTTTGCGGGATCCTACCCGAAATTCTGTATTTTAAGCAACGAGCGGGATTTACGGGATTAATCCCGCGGGGTCATGTCCCGTTAAATTTTTTGAAAAAGATTCAGTTGCGGGATCCCGGGAATGTCACTATTGTCAACCACAATCCAAACATGTCAGTCCCGAATGTCTCCCTATCCATTATTTAACTCCCAAAACCAAAAGAACCTTGTCTGAAAGAAAACATCCTCGTCAACAAATCCATAAGTTTCCATCATTTTCGTAATAACACCAATAAAAGTACGTTGAGAGCGAGCAGGGGAAGAAGATGGTTGCTGCTGTGACGATTGTTGTTGGCGTGATTGTACTTGCTGAATTTGTTGTTGTTGAGGTTGAAGCATTTGAGAACGTTGAGCTTGGGCAAGCATATTCATTCCCATTGTACTTGAAAAAGCAGCTTGATTAACTAAACCAGCTAACGGCATTCCTGGAATTCCTCCAAATGATTGTCCAGTCGTTGCAAGGCCCAGTTGGCCAGTAAACAAATTTGGGTTCAATTGCTGTTGAGAGCCTGAAAATGCGACAATTATTGATGCCTTCCATTAAAAGGATTAAACCAGGAATAAATGTAGTCACTCAAAATCCGGACATCTTTTCGATACAAAACCAAATCCACAGAAACCCGTTTCCCCAACCGTTATCAGAACCCAGGGCCCTAGGCAGGGGATCACTCAAGAGTATCGACACCCAAAGTATCGGATTACCCAAAGATCAAACTGGGTGTCGATACTTTAGGGATGGACGCTGAACCCAGATACCAGTACAGAACCAAACTGCGTCAGCCCATGAATATGGTCACCTTATGAAATAATTTATTCCCCGTGAACTATGTTCTGAACTCCTGTCTTAAACTTGGCGTCAACTTATCACGCAAACAAAAAGCTTAATAGTTGCCACAACCTAACGAGCAATTATTGTCTCAGAAACACTTCCATCCCTTTTAAAATAAAAAAAAACAAACCTTGAGATCTAGCCCAAGCAGGTTTTTGTCCATAAGACATTTTCGGTTATTTTGAATATATAATTTAAAAATCAAAAGGTTAAGAAAGTCTAAAAACAAGATTTAAAAATTAAAAAAAAATACGAAGCAAAAAAAGATAAAAGACAAATAATCAATAAAGTACAGTATGAATAGGACAAAATGTCATTTATCCAAAAAATTATTAAAAAAGGGTCAAGAGAGTCCAGAAATCGTCTTGGCCAGAGAATGCTTTTTTTGTCAGTAGTAAATGGAAAAATAGAATTTTTCGGAATCAGATTCCCAAATTTGTAATTAGCGCTAGGTTGGATTCAACAGGACTTTCCTGCTTAATCTGGTCCGGAAACAGTCCCACAAAAAAACTAGAGAAGCACGAGACCGATTAATCGCCTCGTTTATTTTTACCGGTGGCGGGTCTTTTTTCTCTTTTCCCTTCTCCGCTTTTTGTCCCGCCGCAGGGAAAAATAAACGAGGCCATTAACCGGTCTCATGCTACTCCACGGAAAACCCAGCTTCCTGAAAAGTCCGGGCAGAACCGGTCCGGCACCGGGACAACTTTTAAGTTTGTTATTTTTTTTTAAATTTTTTCCCGTTCACAAGAAAAGCATTCGTTTTTCTGGCCAGAGATCCCCACACAAAAATAATCTCAAAACAAAAAAAAAATTTAAAAAAATAACCCGTTAAAATTTCAAAAAAAATCCCCCAAAATTGTTCTCAATAAAAATCAGCATAAGCATTTTGCATTCGTTCACAATAATCAGATTTTTCTTGTTCACTCATTTTTGCCAATAAAGCTTCATTTATATCTTCAAAAAAATTTTTCTTTAAATTTTATTTAAAAAATTACCATCAACACGAAATCGTTCTCCTTGAACAAATACAAAAACTTCTTCTTCTACGTCTACATCTTCTTCCATTTGTTTTTTTAGAGAACTAGAAAAAAAATTATTAATGTCTAATTTATGTTAACATAAAGTTTATCCAATTTTTCGGTCACTGACCTCGTTTTGGAAGAAATTTTTAATCAAATATTTGTCCGAAAAAATTTTGCGGATTTTTCTCTGTCCGCAAAAATCTGCGGATTTTATTTTCTGTCCGCAAAAATTAATGCGGATTTTTTAGCTGTGCACACAAAAAATCCGCAAAAAATTTGCGATCTAAATTTTGTCCGCAAATTTTTTGCGGACTAGATTTTTGTCCGCAAAAATTTTTTTGCGGACAAACATCCCCTCTTCCTTTTTCTCTACCCAAAACTAATTTTATAAAAAATTTTTTCAAAAAACCTTCGTAATGCCGAATCATCATCTTTACCAGAACCACCATTTCGAGTTTCTTCTTTTTGCTTACTTTCTTCTAGTTCCTCATCAGCCAAAAGTAAAGCTATTTCATCACGTCTAGGTCTCTTTATTATTATTTCTTCTTCTTCGTCCTTATTTCCTTCTAAATGGTCATTTTGTTGATTAATCTTAAAAAGAAAAATTCTTTTATTTAAATTTTTATGGAAACTTTAATTGTTGTCGAAGATGAGGTTGAAGCAATGTTTATATTTTCTGTTTGTTTATATCCATCCAATTCTGAAAAAAAATTTTTTTTAATTAAAAAATAGGAAATTATTTTCAGTTAGAGCTCTCAGTTGGCCCTTTACTAGAGAAGCTTAAAGCCAAGAAGTAGAAAAAACAAGGGATACAGTCTGGCAGGTTACGGAGGAGCTCTATTGAGGTATGGAGGGATATAAAGGATTAAGGTGAGTATGGGTGTATATGCCGTGAGCATGGGGTATAATGGGCTCATTTCTGGAAAATTTTGGGCTTCCAAATAAAAAATGTGAATATTGGGTCCTAGAATTTAGCAGCAGGGATTCTAGAGTGTTATTGTGGGTTGTGGGAATCTGTGCTAAAATTAAATCGCATCTGAGATGCCAAGCTTCAACAAATTAAACGGTACTATAAAAGCCTTGTTGATTGTTTCAATTTTCCTCCCAACCACCATAAATCTTCAATCACTTCAACTCTACATCAACATATCATCTAAACAAACAACAAAGGCAACAACGCTTCATGCTCTTCTGCCTCCTTCATCCAATGGACCACAACACCGGACCTTTGGCAAGGAAGTCGACAACGCTTTGTGCTCTGCTGCTGGTATCCATCACCGCGCTCCTAGTGTTTGCAGTTCCTGGACAGACCAACGCTGAGGTAGTCGGAGTTGCCAATCACACCTTGAAAGGAAGCAATGTGACGCTCAAAGCTGGCAGTAAGCAGGCCGACACGGACTTAAAGTATGACGAGTACGTGCAGCGTTTCCATAATGTCTGTAATTTTGTGATCGACGAGAAATACATGTAAGTTGATTCTTTCTTAAGATTTGAGGAAATAACGTTCTTAATTTTTAGCACGCTTCTATATGAAGGCAAATGGTGCATTGTGGAACTGATCACCAAAACGCCAATGAAGATGATCAAATTCACGACTGGATACCGGAAAAATGGCTGTAACATGAGTGAATGCGAAAATAGCAAATACAGATATCAGGATGGATTTTCAAATGTGTAAGTTAATAGTTAATTGCTGATAGAAAAGAATTATATAACAATTTATTTCAGCCTGCCATTCGCCTACAGCAAAAACAACAAGGAAATCGAAAAGCACATTGAGGATCCGTTCTACGATGGTAAAAACGTCAAATGTGATAAAATAAGATGTGGGGACAAATGCATGAAGCATACATTTCTTGAAGTCTTGTGGAGTAAATGTGATGGTAGTGTAATCGCTTACACTCATTTAAGTAAGTACACCCATTTTACACCCATTTAAGTACTTTAAAATATCCATTTTAGTTGCTGAAGTTGAGAAAGGCTTGGATCAATATGAAGAAGAAAAAGGTGGCGATAAAACGGATTTCAATCTGGAGATATATGCTAATAGCAGCTTCAAAATGGATTTTCACAAAGATTGGACCGATATTTTCGATGATAAAAATATTAGTTGCGCTCCAAAAAAAAATTCCATTGTCCCACCAACTACATGGAACATCACAAATGGAGACGGAGACCTGAAGGATAAACATCTGCTCGTCTTCCATCTACTTCCAAAAACGGCTACACGAAGGTTCGAAAAACGCGAACACAAAAAATTTATGGAGGAAAGACCAAAGTGTGATCTCTTCATTCAATTTGTAATTTTTTTGCATTTTTTCCAAAAACTCGACTAATTTCTATCTTTCAGGACAGGGAAATCTACGAATTTCTTCAGGTCGATCTTCGAACAACGACTACAAGCACAACTACAACGACCAAACCATCAACAAAATCATCGACCACATCAACACCTATCAAAACAACTCCAACGCCACGACCGCAGCAAGGAACTACAACAAATGTGCAGGAAGTAAAGGACACCAAAAAGGGAAGCAGTGCTGGGACTGTGATAATAATTCTGTTAGTTTTGGCGTTTGTTTCCGTGTTGATTGGAGGTTGCATCTATTTTGGGCTCGACTACCGCAAAAAACAACAAAAGGAAAAGGAAGAAGAAGCAGCGAAAGCAGCAGCAACTGAAGCAGCAAAAGCAGCGGAAGCAGCAGCAGCTGAAGCAGCAGAAGCAGAGGATGAGAAAGAGAGGTAATACATAGTAGGAAGAGAGATGATATAGACAATTTTTTGTTTTTTTTTCAGAGCCTACTGGTTCAACTTTGGAGACACTACGGAGATTGCTGATCAAAACTTTAAACGCGCTGCCTTAGGTCTGATGTCGGTGGAAGATCAATTTGTCAAGGAGATTCTTGACAGGATGGAGAAGGAGGACAAGGAGAACGCGGAAAAAAACGAAGAAATTCTCATCGAATTGTATCTACCGGACGTTGCGGAAAAAGGTTTTGCCAAAGTTGGGACTTTCCGAGAGTGGCGGAAGAAGGTGAATTTATAAAATAAAAATTTAAATTTGGTTTTTTATTGCAGAGTAGAATGATCCAGGAAAAAGGCGAGACTTCGGAAGAATTCGACAAGAGAGTCGAAAAGGCGATAAAGAGAAGGGGAGGCTTGAAGAAGACTGTCAACGCACTTTTCAATAGGAAACAATCAAAGGATGAAGCTGCCGGAGGGAAAAAGACAGAGGACAGCAAGGTGAAGAACGACCAGGCCCCGAAGGAGGAAACGACTTCGAAGGACTCGGCTGTGAAGACGGACCCGGCACCGGAGAAGGCGGACGCTACGAAGAGCAAGCAGGCGGGTACGACATCGGATGTTCCAACGGATATGGTGTCGGAGGCTAAAGAGACGGATCAGTAATATTGTGAAGATAAAGTGATGGTTGCGGCTAGGACAAAACTAGGAGATGAGAGAAGTTGAGAAGATATATAAATTGGAGATATATAGAGAATATTCTGTAAATAATTTGCGTAAATCATTCATTCTCTATTTTCCCCAAATCCCCTATATTCTCCAAATCTCTCAACAAAAATTGTATTTCTCTCTATATATGGCTATATTGCCTATCTATATATATTCCCTATATCCCCTATATATATTCACATATTCAGGCTATATGCCCATCTATATATATGTGTATAATCTGTATATCTATTTTCCCTATATACACCCAAATTTCCCTATATATTTCCTTATATTCCCTATATATATTTGCAGGTTGAATTGTTGTATTCCCTGCTATTTTCCTTATATATTGTATTGTATGTATATGTATTTTTCTGTGTATATGTTTGTATTGTAATTGTTGTAGTATAAAAATTTGTTTTGGAGTCCAAAATTTTATACCGGAGCCCAAAATTGTAAAAAAATCTTGGAAACCCAACTTTTCAGATTCCAAATTCAAGTGCCCTAAAAATTAATTTTTCCTAGTTGGAACAAAGGAACATAGTCCTTTTACAGTCAATACAAACCTAGACCCTTCTAAACTCGGCCAGAACCCCTGACACACGGACCTGACCACAACATTTCCTACGAGGAAACATTTTTAATTTAACTCATAAAAAGTTTAAAAAATATTTACGTGTAGTATCCACATCCACTTGTTTAGCAGAAAGTAACCAAGGAATTTCTGCTTTTGCTTCGAGTGTTTTTTCAATATTATCATCACCAATTGAAACAGTAATATCACCTCCATATAAATCACTTCTAGTTTTACCAGCACCAAAAAATGCACGTTGTCCAAGCTTAAAAATAAAAAATGGAAAATTTTAGAGTCTTTTCGGTGGTAAATGGGGGAGAGGTTCATCCAATTCAAAAAAATTTTTTTTTCAAAATTAAAGTCCTAAAACATCATCCAAATACATCTCCGTATCCCCAAAAAATGATTTTAATTAATAAAAAATAATTTTCCAAAAATAGTTTTCATGAATAAATCTTAAATAAGGCATTGAGATGAGTAAGAAAAAAAACCCTTCAATATGGCATTGACAATGAGATGAGTGGAAAATCTTTTAAAAATCAAAGTAGGGGCATCTCCATATATTCCGACTATCCCAAAAATAATTAAGTTAAAAAAAAATTTTTTTAATAAAGAGTTTTCTCAGAAACCTTCTAATACTATGACCACCGACCACTAATTGTAAACTTAATTAAATTAAAAATTTCCAAAAAATTTCTTTCCTAAATAACAACCCCATTAAATTATTAAATTAAAAAAAACTAACACTAGCAACTTTTCTCGTTTCAAGTTCAATCGTTTCCCCTTCAGATTTAAATATAGGTGCTTGTATTGTTGGTTCAGTTATTTCACGTCCAAAACGAATTCCATCCATTTGTTTTATTAAAGAAAATATTCCAGTCATTTGTTCATTAAATTTGGCCATAGAGGAACGTGTTGTTGAGGATGGACCACTGGCAAGTTCGTCTTGTTCTACTAAACTGTGACATTGCCAACACCTTTTGGGTTAAATAAAATTGAAAATTTATTGGGTTTAAATTTGAAGGGGGAATTTTAAAATTTAATAAACGTAGATGAGGAAGAAGTTTGAGGGAGAGGCAAAAAAATGTTTTTTTGCCTAACTAGGGAAGGTTGCGAGGTGTCCGAGCTGAAAACGGTCGAGACCGGGCTCATTTGATAGAGAATGTGTTTTGGAGGGCCATATCTTGGCCAGAACAAAAAAGGGCAAAAACGGCTCAAAATCCTTGCTAGAAAGGGCACATTTTCTATCGAATGAGCCCGGTCTCGACCGTTTTTAGCTCGGACACCTCGCAACCTTCCCTAGTAAATATGAAGTTTTCATATGTAAACCTCCCTCCAAACCAAAAAAAAAACATATCCATTAAATCTATTGCCTTTTACATCCCTCACTAGAAAAATTTTTATTGAGGAAAGAATTCGAAGATTAAAAGCGTAGATAAAAAATAATAAAAGAATAAATTATTTAATTGAAGGAAACAATATATCCACGTGGAAACGGAAACAAAGCTAACCCAAAATGACTCTTGTTTTTTAGGAATATCGAAAAAGTTATAAAGGGAATACAAGAAAAATAATACAAAGTAGGCCCAGAATTCCGAAAAGAAGAAAGAAGATTAGGGTTGTTAAACAATCGGTTAATTTTTGCCTGTGGTGATGCAAATACTATTAAGTAGGGTTGTCGGTTCTGGACCGAACCGATTCTCAGTTCTGGACCGAGCGTTCGGTTCGGTTCTTCAGTTCGGTTCCGGATATTCTCCTAGAACCGACAACCTTACTCTTAAGACAAAAGACCTCAAATGCTCCACAAGCAAAAATTAACCGGACGCCTGCAACCCTAATAGAAACCCCCACTTTTTGGTCATAGAAAATTTTGTGCAACGTTTTTTTTGGTTATTTAGGTCTTTTAACATACCTGAGTCTCGCGAACTGATTGTGAGTTTACTGGGCCAACAAAATTTCATCGATAAATTCCAGGAATCATGCCTACCTTATTTTCCCATTTCCCAGTCTAAAATAAAGCAAACCTCATCTCCTGTGTGAAAGGATCAAAAATCTTCCCCATATCCATCACATCATATTGCCTTTTACACCCCTCATTAGAACATCGATAAAAAGCTCTGTGAATGTCATCCTTCTCTCTAACTTCCAATTTTTGTCGAATATGGTCAATTTTGTATTTGGCAACATTTAAAGCTCCTTTGTAATTGACAAAATAATAAGTAAATTTTCTAACTTTGCCATCAACTAGAAAAATTAAAAGAAAATTTTTTCTTTAAATGGGAGGCAGAATGAGTCGAGGGCTTTTTCAAAGGAATTTTTTAAAGCATTTTTAGAAAAATGCTTTAAAAATTAAAAAAATACGTAAATGATTTAAATAATGAATCAATAAAAGAAAATCAAAAAATTGGAACCAGAGGGAGTTAAACGCCCAGACTCAAAGTCTAGGAAAAAAGTCTGACTAATTCTAAATTTATTTAAAATAAATTCAATAAACAATTAGATACAGAAAAAGAAAGGTTCAACAGAATAGGCTCGAGATCGGTACTTTTGAGAAGCCGGGGCGCTCCTGGGTTGGGTTTATAAACCTGGGCCGGATGCTGGGCCTGTAGTCCAGGAAATAACCCAGGTCCAGGAAAAACTAAGAAAGGTCAAAAAAATGTTTGGACCTTAACTCTGGGTGCAGGAAAAGCCCAGGCCTAAGATCCAGCCCAATCTCTAGGATAAGCCTCAGAAAACTTTAAAAAATTAAACCTTCTTGCGGCACCAACCGTTCCTTTATAAACTTCTCCACTTTCAAGGTCACCAAAAATTTTCTCAATTGTCTCTGATCAATTTTGCAGACTTGTCGAAGCTCTTCTTCTTTTAATATAATTTTCTTTTGAATATAACAAAAAATAACATAACATTCAATTCCATAAAATATTTTGACTAAAGTAAGGAGTAATTGTTGAAGTGTTGGGGGTACTTCTGTAAGTAGTTGATTTTGTTGATTTGATTTTTCTGTGTCCATTTTTCTATAGTTTTTAATAAATTGCTAAAAATGAATTAGGAAAAATTAGAAAAACTGACGGACAAAAATCACGGACAAAAAATCCTTGTGGCAGACGACAAAACGCCGACAGACATTATGCCAACGGACTTTACGTCACTTGACTTTTCGTCAATGAATTTTTCGTCAACGGACGTTACGTCAATGAAAGAAATATTTTTTTAATATTACGGTAGCCTTAAATCCATTAATCACAATGCCTAATGCGATATATACTTTATACAATCTGATGTAAAATACATGTGTAGATAGATAATTATTAGAACTTGAGATAGTCTGGTTTGAGGTCCACTCCGAAAAGTTGCTTAAACGAGGGTGTTTCTCGTTTAAGCTTAGAGTTACTATAGTAAAGCAGCTGGGCTATAGCTATATTTCTCTTTTAGCTAGTGCAAAAGGTTAATCGGCGGCTGGGAGCGCACCAGCATCTTCAGTAGACCGGACTGATGTGTTAGCCATTACACCACGCCGCCTACTGCATAGCCTTAGGAATTAAATAGGCTATATGCTTTACACTATCTCAATTTCCAAATATTTTTACATCTTTTGGTAGTGTTTATAAAAAATTAAAAAAAATTTTTCATAGGAATGTTCTTATAGTTTTTGTTCTTCAATTGAATCTATGAGGTAATATCCATCTTCTTTCCCTTTTTCTCTTCAGCTTTTTTCTTCTTCATTTTCTCTTCTTTAAGAGGCTCTTTTCGATATTCTTTAAACTCCTCCTTCTTATAAAATTCTGCGTTGACTGGAATTTTTACATAAAAATCATCCTGTAGTGGATTAGACATTTCAAATTTAATGTCCTTTGGCTTTGGGATAATATCAATTTTCTTAGCCAGTATTTTTTCATTTTGTTGTTGTCTAACTTCTATTGGATTGTTTGCTAGATAAAGCCTTCTTTGTTCAACTGGAATAAATTTAGATACTTCGTAAGGTTTATGTTAGGCAGGTCTTGGGCCTATAACTCAAGAGAGGAACTCGCTACACCTCAGTTGCCTTTCTCATTGAGCTATTAATTTAAGGAGCAGGTCAAATCAAGTAGTACCTACTAATGATGGTCGGGATTCTCGGTCTCGGTTACCGAGTCGGGAAATTTCCCGGGTTTTTTGAACTCTCGATCTCGGTCCGAGACTCGGTCTCGGGGTTGATTCCCGGTCTCGGTCTCGACTCTCGGGTTTTTCTAACTTCCGACCATCACTAGTACCTACCAGGGATGCACCGACATAGTAACATGATTCCTGATTTAGGGAATAATTTTGTAGGTGCGATCCCTAGTACCTACCCTGAATTTCTTTCCATTTTTCATTTGTTTTTTCTTTCGATTCAATATCTTCAATTTTCGGGCAGCTCATAGTCCCATCTTCAATCAGAGAATCAAGTCTTTAAATTTAAAAATAAAATTTCTTTGTAAACTCCATCCACTTACTCCCCAATGTTTCTTCTGGTTATATGAATTCCCTCTAACTTATAATTTTCTGTAATGACATAATTTGTAAAAAAATTAAATGAAGGTATTAATAATAAAATTTTCTCTTTTTCAATCTTTTTATTTTCAAAGTTTTCTTTTTTAAAGTTTATTCCAACAAGCCAAATTGTTAATCGTTTATTGCTGAATTGATAAATAGGGAAATAATAAAAAATTAGAAAGTCTTTCCGGAAGAATAATTAAAAAGAATTATGTGCCTAGTATATTTATTCTTCCGGAAAAGCTTCCGGAAAAGCTAGAGATGACTAAAAAGAATATTTCTCCAGAGAAATAGATTTTACAAATTGTAAGTGTTATTTCGAATAGATTCTACAAATTGTAAAATCCTATTTTGCGGAAAGAGCATATTTTCCGGGAGAATAGTTTTACAAATTGTAAAGCGGGTATATTTCTTGAAAAATACTCATTTTACAATTTATCCTCTATTTTTCCGGAAGAAATAGATTTTACAAATTGTAAAGTGGGCGTTTTCCGGAAAACAAGGGTTTTACAAATTGTAAAATCCTATTTCCGGAAAAAACATATTTTCCGGAAAATAAAGGTTTTACAAATTGTAAAGTGAGCGTTTTCTGGAAAACAAGGGTTTTACAAATTGTAAAAATAGCAAATTGTAAAACTTACTCTCCATCATTACATTTCCATTCTAAATTTGTTAAAGCATGATATTCCTCCAAATAATCACTTAATTTGTAAATCTTATAATTTTCTTCTTCTACATTTTCTGTAGTATTCTCCTCAATTTTAAATCTTAACGTGGCTTTCTTTGCCCATTTAACCAGCAAACCCCGAACTTTAGTTTTTACAAATTCACAGGATTTGTTTTCATTGATACCCTCAATTTTAATTTTTTCACTGCAAACAAGTACTAGAAAATGTTCGTATTGTTTTTTATATTCAAGCTTTTTAAATAATATGTCTTTATAAAATTTTTCTGTTAGCAATGAAGTCGAGCGATCAAGTTGGGCATAAGCTGGAATTTAAATGAAATTAAAGTGATGACTTGAAATCTTCGTGTTTTTACCTTTCTTCATTTCCTTAACAATTATATCTCTTGTAAATTCATTTGTGTTAAATGCAGTATTCTGCTCTGGAAATATTGGGGAAATTATAGGCATATAATCATTTTTTAAATTTAATAAATTCCAAGATTTAATAAAATCATTGTTGGATAATTGAGGTAAATCACTTGGCATTGTTAGTTGTTCAAGTATAATAGGCACGGGCCATTCCCTGAAATAATGTTTTTAAAATATAAGCAAGTAGTGTAGATTTTCATAGATTATTTACAAAATTGAGAAAATTCCGGAAAAAGAAGATTCATTTTTACAAATTGTAAAATAATTCCGGAAAAAGAAAATTAATTTTTACGTAAAAGTAATTCCGGAAGAGAGAAATTAATTTTTACAAATTGTATAAATAATTCCGGAAGAGAAAAATTAATTTTTACAAATTGTAAAAGATAATTCCGGAAGAGAGAAATGTTTTTACAAATTGTAAAAATAATTCCGGAAAAAGAAAATTAATTTTTACAAATTGTGAAAGTAATTCCGGAAAAGACAATTAATTTTTACAAATTGTAAAAGTAATTCCGGAAAAAGAAAATGCTTTTTACAAATTGTAAAAGTAATTCCGGAAGAGATAAACAAATTTTACAAATTGTAAAAAGATTTCGGAAAAAGAAAAATTAAATTTACAAATTGTAAAAGTAATTCCGGAAGAGACGAATTAATTTTTACAAATTGTAAAAAGCATTCCGGAAGAGGGAAAACGTTTTTAAAAATTGTAAAATGAATTCCGGAAGGAAAAATTAATTTTTTCAAATTGTAAAAGATAATTCCGGAAGTGAAAAATTAATTCCTACAAATTGTAAAAATAATTCCGGAAAAAGAAAATTCATTTTTACAAATTGTAAAAGTAACTCCGGAAGAGAGATGGTCTTTCCAAATAGACTAGAACCTACCATAAACTATAAATTTGAAAGAAACGTTGCACAAGAAATGTTAAACTTGCACTTTGATAAATTAAACAAATTTTGGCAGTCATTAATATCAAAGCTGTTCCGCTCAAATATCCAAATACATTTGAATAGAGTCCTTTTTCTAAATGATTAGGAAATACATATGTAATTAATTCAATAATTAAATCAAACAAAAATTCGACCTTATTTAAAAAAATTAAAAAAAGCTAACGTTTTGCCCAGTGTTTAACGGCACGCATTAAATCGGAAAATATTTCCGATCTGTTCTTCTCTAACAAAAAAAATTTTGTGCGATAAGCAATTCTATAACCTTCAAAAATAAAAATATTTAAATATTCCGGAAATAATTCCGGAAAAGAATTTACGTAAAAATTAATTTTTACAAATTGTAAAACCAATTCCGGAAGAGAAAAATTAAATTTTTACAAATTGTAAAATAATTCCGGAAAAGAAAAATTAATTTTTACAAATTGTAAAACCAATTCCGGAAGAGAAAAATTAAATTTTTACAAATTGTAAAATAATTCCGGAAAAGAAAAATTAATTTTTACAAATTGTAAAACCAATTCCGGAAGAGAAAAATTAAATTTTTACAAATTGTAAAATAATTCCGGAAAAGAAAAATTAATTTTTACAAATTGTAAAACCAATTCCGGAAGAGAAAAATTAAATTTTTACAAATTGTAAAACCAATTCCGGAAAAGAAAAATTAATTTTTACAAATTGTAAAACCAATTCCGGAAGAGAAAAATTATTTTTACAAATTGTAAAACCAATTCCGGAAAAGAAAAATTAATTTTTACAAATTGTAAAACCAATTCCGGAAGAGAAAAATTAATTTTTACAAATTGTAAAATAATTCCGGAAGAGAAAAATTAATTTTTACAAATTGTAAAATAATTCCAGAAACCCTCATTATTAATTCTGTCTCTTTTACAATCTAGAATCTTACCTGAAAGAACCAATATACTTTGTATATACAAAGGATCACTTAATTTAATCATTAAATTAATCTTTCCATCAATGAAATTTAAATTTCCTTTAATATTTTCAATGTCATCGTGCTTTGTTAAATCTAAATTCTCATCAATTTTTGAATCGGGGATATTAGCAATCATAACATCCATTTCTACACTTTGTATTTCTATTGCTAAAAGAGGAACCCGCGAATTTTCAATCAAGTTGATATTTGCCTCGTTTTCCTTTTTATTTAAATTTAAGATTTATAATTTGTAGTTATTTTAATGCCTTAGCCTTACTTCTTCATGGATTTCCATGGAGGGGGTAATTACTAAAGAGGGGCTGCTAGATTTGATGTATATCTCAATAAAATAATGACGAAGTCGATTTATTTTTTGATATTGGTTCATAAAATGTTCCATTTCCATTTTAATATTTTTAAATTTATGTAGAAAATAGGGGGTAATTATTAAAGTGAGTAATTTTAGAGAGTTTAATTATTTGAGCATTTGCGGTAAACATTTTCGGAAAATCTTACAAACTCCTATCT